GCACGTAACACGGAGTTCGGAGCCCAACGAAACCGCACGCAACGTGCAACAGCCGCCAACTGATGGGCTTCATCTGCCCTGGCCAAGTAGTCACCCACACACACACAGTAGTCTCTCACACAGATACGCGCACACAGATACACCCTGGTTTGTTGATAACCGTTTTCGAATTTCGAATTCGCGTCGTCAGCTGCTGGCTGCCTCTGTTTTTGCTGTTCCTGCCGCCGCTACTGCTGCTGTGCCGCCTTTTGTATACAAACAGTGGCTGAGCATCCTCCGGCAGGCACCACCCACGAAGGCCACCCACCATACATTCAGCGCCACCCTTGGCAGCAGCTACGTTCACCATGTTGCATGTTCGGCGAATGTCAAACGCATGCGCCGCCCAGTAGGCAACACTTTTTGCAGGGTATCTGCGTGGGGTTTTTGCGTGGGAGTATTGAATTCACTTATTTAAATTACAGGATAATGGAACTGAATTTATAATTATATATTGAGATAGGGAGGAACGTATTGCTTGGAAGGTTTTTATCATTTAAAGTCAAACATACCATAAGTATTCAAGTCTAGTCGCTCAATGCGTTGATTTGTTATTAAAATAGTTTTATTTATACATTTAAATTCCGAATGTTTACATATAATATTATCATTATATGATATATTCACATTTTTATAAAATTACTTTATTAATTTCTACTTGTCTAAAAAATTAGTTTATTGGTGTCTTTTAGTTTTAGTGCCTACTATTATTTAGTCTTTGAATAATTCGCCTTTATTTATTATTTATAAAATCAATTATCTAAGAAATATCTTTAATGAGTATCTACTAGTCCGCATATCATTGTTTCTCCTTATGTTCGGTTGTGCTGGCTGCTTATGCCGCATCAAAGCAATCAACGCAACCTCGGCGCTGTGTGGAAGCTTCTTTCGTTGTTATCTTTATTGTCCTGCAATATTTCGACAGCGGACTCCTTCTGCGAGGGGGAGGGAGGGAGCCTAAAGCGGGGTGTCATGACATAAATTAGTCACATTTGACTTGGACGTCCCTTAACCTTAAGTCGGCTAAGTTGGGCTGCCACCCAGCGCCTTAATTCCAAACTGGCTGGCTGACTGACTGACTGACTGGAGTTCACGTGCCCGGCCATGGTCGCTAATGAATTATGGCCAAGTTTTAATTAAGCTCTTTATGGCGTGGCAAAAACGCTTGGCCTCAATTATTGTCGTTTATTTTCGAATTCCCGCTACATTCTAAGTTTCATCCCGCATTTTTCCCTTGGATGATAGTTGGAGATAAGTCTGAATTATGATTTGATTATGTCCTTTTCTTGGGAGCCCATTGAGTTTTGAGCACAAGGATATTTGAAGGAAAATGTATATATCGAAAAGTCCTATTTTTATCTCATAGTTTATTTTTAATTTGAAAAAAATTAAAAAACATAGGGAAACAGAAAATTTCTTAGTATTTTATAGATTATTGTTTGTTGTGACATTTTTTTTATAAATACAAAAAATGAAAGTGAGATTGTATTTTGGGTCAATCACGATCGTGTGTCACAAATAAGAAATACATCTCTTTAAAGACTTTTGGTGTATTTGTCTTTGGTTTTTTTTAATTGACAGCAAAAAGTACCCAAAGGGTGTATAACAGTAGTGTACACTCTACTGCAGCTTTCTGAGTTGCTTATATTATTTTGGCTTTTAAGAATTCCAGAATATTTGTAATTTTAAATGTTCCATTATCTCTTTGAATTTCATTTAAAAATTCAAATGAGGAAAAGTACTAATTCCCATTTTTGTCCTTGACCCAATAGTTTTTCAACTAAAATTTTTGTCGCCATTTCAGTGGTCACGAAAACCGAGCACCCACACGGATGTTTGTAATGATGTTTGTCTGTGTGCGAGTTTAATAACCACAATTGCAGCTCGAAACTGTGAATCCTTGTGAAAATTGTCCCTGCAGGAAATTGCAAAACCAACTAAAACCGAGGGTCAAAAGAGCAAAAGGCGAAGAAGGAGGTAACAAAATGTGAGCTTAATGCAGGCCAGAATGATTTACAGTTGGAAACCGTTAGCGAGGATGTGTCATAAACAGAATAACTGTTATTTTTGATGTTGTTGTTGTTGTCTCTGTTGTCCCATTGTGTGCCTGTTATCAATGGATGTTTATCAAGGACACAAAGAGCAAATCGCATCAAAGACATTCAAAGCAGACAAGTGGGCAAACAAGGGGGAGCTGGCGAGGGGCAGAGGTAATAACATAATAATATAAATGCCATTTGACCTTGTGCACCGCACAGAAAGTCAATTGCTGCTGCAGCGCCACCTGGCGACAGACCGAGTGATTCATCTTTAATGATTTCTTCTCGCCTGCTTTCTTTCTCCTCCCTTTTATCCTTCACTTTCCTCCATTTTGAAACTATGAACAGGAAGGAAGAGGAAGAGGAAAGTCCAATGATATTGAAATATTTGCGGTCAGCCGGAAGTCACTTATTTGACCTAGTTCTCCTCTTGCTGTCTCTCTCTCTTTTTTGCTATCTCTATCTCTTTCGATTGGTAAATGATGGCCTGTTCTTCACACTTTTTAATTAATAAACATAAAAGCGAAAACGACTTGAATAGCGGGAAATAAAAGGCAGCTGAATGGAATTGCGTGTCCATCTTCCACCTTTAATTGAGGTTAAGTGAGCGGACATTAAATTGTTTATAGGGCAAGGTTGCGACGAAACTGCTCAAACTATTTGTAAAATATTAGCTTTTTATGCGAGAAATGAATCGAATTGAAGGACAACTCTGACGGTGGTCAGTTATTGGAATAAAATGAATTAAAGCAAGGTAAGATTCGTCTGCCTTAATTTCTGAAACGGATTTTTGACGTTTTTAATTGTGTTTTTGTTTATAACGTTATATAAGGTTATATAAAATATGGATACATTTTCCAAAGGAGTTTTAAGCTATCTTCAATTAATTAATTTAATTAATTTTTGGTTTGCATACATAGGAAAAGAAAAGGAAATACACGGCTACATATAAGCCATTTATGCAATATAGAACATTATTAAACTGAGTTCAATTTGTTAGTTTTCTTATTTATTCAATTGGTTGAAAATACCGTATTCTCATTTGAAATTTCCCGCCTTTGTTAATATAGTAGTATATATTTTTCACCTGGCAATGCCAATTACGTTATATGACTACGTATTTTATAACGATAATTTATTGGCGCGAATATTCGAAATGTAACGATAACAAACGATTGAAATTATTCATATGCGCGAAAATAATGTTCTATTTCTATTTTGATAATTTTTGTAGATTTTTATATAAATTGGTAGCTATAAAAAGAGCATTTTAAAATTGTTGAATTTACAGTTATCTCTAGCTATATACGCTTAAATATGTATGTTTATTTATTAAATTATAAAATTATATTAATTATTAGTTTCACAATTTGAGTGTCTTTCGATTTGCATATAAAATTTAACCTTTATTTTAAAATTATAAAAAATTGATAAGTTTTAAGGAGATGGAAATACTATGTTCAAAACACTAAGAAGTTATTCATTTATTATTTCTTCGATTGTTCCTATGGTAGCATTACTTTAAGGTCGTTGTTAATAGAAACAATACATCTGCCAAGTTTCATAGCATAGCTTTGAAACAGATTGACGAGATTGCGTAGAAATGGACAAACGAGCATTAAACCGGCGCTCAACTATACAATTTTTGGTCATTAAATAAAATTGAAAATTATAAGCTTGGTATTCAAGTCCTCAGGGAACTTACTTTTACTGATCCCTTGATAACTTTAATTGGCAATCGGACCCCTATACGCATTTAGTTCCATAAGTCACCCAGCCCTTATCAATCAACTTCTAAGTATTAAAAATCTGAGCTTTAAAATTCATTCTATGTTAATAAACACAACCAGCTTTTAATTTTCTATACATATTTACCTTTTGTATTGGTCTAGTCTTCTTTTATTCTCATCTTTTCCACAAACTGCGACAAGATAAATATGGTTATTTCAAAATTTTGGTTAATTTTAGATGCTCACCTCTCCTTTAGAAGCCGAATCGTGTTGCGCTTCAGAATAAACGACACGAAGATAATGATGCCAAGGGAATAATCGATGTACCGACTTATCCTTTCAAGAATTATACAATTAAGATAGAGCAAGATTAGACGCAGGCTCCATTGCACATCCATGATAAAGAAGATACGCATAATTACTTTACATCTATGATTAGGTTATGAAATAATCAATGTTCCCGAAGTATGTTTAAGTTTTTTTCTTACGTATGTATTCTAGAGCTTGTTATGGCCTGGTTGTGATCGGAAAAGTAAAGTAGAGAGTTTTTTACTTTCATAATACTAATGGTCGTCAGTATAAAAAGCATTCCGTTCAGTGCAATTAGAGTTACAATTGGCCAAACAAAGAATGCATCCCAAGTCGAACCTGGTGATTAAACGAAATTATTTTCGTGAATTTCAAATCTAATCATTGCTCTAGTAGAAGCCCACGTTTTAAGTCACAATACTCCCATCCAACTCCAGGTATCCAGCCAACTTTGCTGGGATCGTCATCCCACAACTGGTCCATCAGGAAAAGGAGTCCTGTCATGGAAGCCGCCGTTCCCCAGGAGAAGATGCTGTAGGTCAGGAAGCTATGTCGAGATTCATCTTGAGTTATCGATGGCAAACCTTTCCACATCCGATAGCTCAAGGCAGAAAGCCAAATAAATCTTGCCATAAGGAAGAAGTAAAGCAAGTAACCTGAAATTTATTAAACTTAGATATATTTTAATAGTCCTCATATATATTTCTTTAGTTATATCAGATACAGTCAATTTTATTTGAAATACAGATTTCTTTAAACTTGACATATGGCATGATAGATTGATTTGGCTGTCGATAGATTGTGATCGATTAATATTTAACTTTATGGGCTCGCAAATGCCTCTTTTACTATAATGGAAACGTTTGACTTAAATAAGGATATTTCAAAACAAACCTCGTAGAAGGCAAAACTTCAAGGGTATGTGGAAGTGCATCAGCCACTTATGGAGCAGAAACATGAATATAGTGAGCATGTAACTGATGAAGACCTTGCCGTGCAGATTCCGGAGCTTTTTCACGCTGAGATACACTGCTGTCGTCAGAATCAAAAATGCTTTCGAAAGCAAAATGACTGAAAAGAATAAAAAAATAGGTTGGGACAAGGTCTTTATAAATAGGCGATATATACTCACGCTCATTCGCTCCCGGTTGCAGGGTCTCTGGGTTCTGGTTGAAAACGCTTTCATGAAAAGCCACCACAAGAGAGCCTCTGTTTTCTGAACTGAACTGGTCCGGGTGCAGGCAGTCATATCCCCTAAATGCCTGCTTCTCGCTGTTGTAGTCCTTGAGCAACGCACTTCCGTTCTAAGGATCTCTAATTAGTCTGAGAAACATAGGACAGATGTGACAACAAACCTCGAACAATGTATACTCGTGTTCCTTCCAAATATCCCTGAAGCGCATTGCATCTCTTAACACTATGAAATCGCTGAGCAAGTTTCTTCTGACCACAGATCCGTTAAGGAGAGTCACGTTCAAGTAGGGATTGATGTTGCTTAGTTTGTCCATCAGGCCATCAGTGCATTCGCCATTGGGCTGCATGTCCTTGAATCGGCAACAGATCCAGATACAGGCCTTCAGGTGGCAGACACATCCTCGCGTGTGCCTTTTCGCACTATTATTGACTCCCCTTTCCGTCTCTATGTAGTCATATTGGCCAGTCAAATGAAAAGGAACTAACAAGTTATCCTTGTATAGGTAAGACCCATTTGGAAACTGCGGACTGAACGACAAATCCACAGTTTCCAAGTAGTTGCAGCCGTGAATTTTCGCCTCCGATATGTGCAGGATCAAAAGCACAATAAATGTATTAAAAAGCTTCATTATGCTTAGGAACACTTTCCGCAGAGACCAAATTTGGACTAAGTCCTAATGATTGGGGGCTGAGAATAACATGCGATATTAATGAAAACCATAAAAGCGAAAAAGGCGAGTAGGTCTATAAAGAGGGAATTACACATGCACTGGCCAAAAAAACTGGGATACGATACTGGGATACATGTTAAATATATGAACAAAAGGTATATTTGCTTGGTTTCATTTATTTATACGTCAAGTGCCGTTTTGCGTAATCTTTTTTTCAAGAGTATGTGGAAAATGGGAATATCTAAATAAGGAAACACTTTCAAGAGTTTTTATACTGAATGGTGGTATAACATGTTTTTAAAAATAAAATTAAATTCTCAGCATAAGTAACATTTGTATTCTCGGCTTAATAACATATATTCTCTCGGTGTAGCACTATTCCTTTGGGGACTTGTTTTTGAGAAATTCCCTTATCGATTTAATTAGCCATATCAGTATTAAAAAACATACAAATATAAATGGGGCTATCCAGAAACTGCTAGGAATTTTAAAAAGAATTTAAAATCAACACCCACATTATTTTCTACAATTCGTTATGGAATGAAATTTTAACCTTTTAGTTTTATGATCCATTTAAATCGCTCTTGTAAGGTATCAAAGGATCATAATTAATGGCAGAATTTTCTTTATATTTCTATGATTTACTTATTCTCTGTATTAAATATCTATTCCTGGCTACGGTGTGCATCATGCGCTTCGGTCTATCCCTAACTTTCCTCTCGCTCTGCTGAGGATTCAATTTTCTCTCTGTATCTAGCCCGAATTCGGGTGTGGCTAGTCTTAATGTACCATAACCTAGGAGTGCCTTTTCATACCTTTTTTTATCGTTGAATTTTTTGTGTGTCATTTTTTCCTATCCTTGTTTTTCCGCCATTTGATTGCCATACTAATAAATTGAGATTTTCCGATACCAAAGCAATGTTGATGAAACTAAAAAGAATTAGGATATGGTTCGATGAAGGAAAATGTTGCCAAAAAATGTTGAGTAACCCATTGATGCTACCAACACAAAATTTAATTTACCGATCGTTTCTATGCCAGCTTTATAATAAAGTCTTTCGATGTGCATAATATAATATAATTTAGAACAATATCTAGAATAGAGTAAAAAATTACTCTTCCACTGCTTTGCAAATTTTTTACTAAAATTATTTTATTCTGATAGTTATAAGCCGACAGAAATACGTCTCAATAGTCGTCGCTCCAGTTCAACAACGGTACTCAAATTGGGCGACGAAGAGGTGGCACGCCGCTCTCCTGATAATAAAAAAAAAAAACATAGAATCCATAAAAATAGTATTTTTAGTGCAGCCCCTAATATCATAATAGAGGATAGTCAACACCCTGAAAATTATCAATGAAGTAACAAAAGTACTTTGAATGCTTAAAAAATGTTAACATCAGTTTCAATATTCCGCACTCTACGGAAACCTTATCGAAAACTGGCTGTCAACTATACAATTTTTATAGTTCAATAAAATATATGTATCCCATGATCAACGTTAATTAGCATAGGGACCTCCATAAATCACCCAGTCCTTATCAAAAAACTGCTAGTTATTACAATCAATTTATGTAAGTATGTGTTAAAGTATATGAATAATTTAAATTTTATATATATAATAACCTTTCGTATTGTACCAGCCTGGCCAAAGTCTTCTCTTATTCTCATCTATTCCGTATACTGCGTTGAGATAAATAGGATTATTCCAAAAGTTGGTCAATTGTAGAAGACTCACCTTTCCATTAGAAACCGAATCGTGCTGCGCTTCAGAATAAACAACACGAAGATAATGATGCCAAGGGAATAATCGATGTACCGACATATCCTTTCCAGTGTTGCCCAACCAAGATAGACAAAGATGAGGCGCACGCCCCAGGGCACATCCATGATAAAGAAGATACGCATAATTATTTGATATCTATGATATGGTTAAGGATTAATCAAAACTAATGTATTATGGTTCAGTGATATCCTTACGTATGCATTCTAGATCTGAGATTTGTTTTGCTGTTGTTGTGATCGGAAAAGTACAGCAGAGAGTTTTTTACTTTCATAATACTAATGGTAGTCAGTATAAAAAATATACCGTTTAGTGAAATTAGTGTTACAAGAGGCCAAACAAAGAATGTATCCCAAGTCGAACCTGGTGATCAAAAAAACATTTTTCGTGAATATTTTGTAAATCAAATCATAGCTATAGTAAAAGCCCACGTTTTAAATCACAATACTCCCATCCAACTCCAGATATCCAGCCAACTTTGCTGGGATCGTTATCCCAGAACTGGTCCATCAGTAAAAGGAGTCCCGTCATGAAAGCCGCAGTTCCCCAGGAGAAGATGCTGTAGGCCAGAAAGCTATTTCGAGATTCAGTTTGTTTTATCGATTTAAAATCTTTCCACATTTGAAAGCTCAACGCAGAAACCCAAATACGTCTGGCCATAGAGAAGAAGTATAAAAAGTAACCTGAAATTCGAGTGTAGTCAAAAATATAAAATTAAATGTCTTTCTTAAATCATATTTTCATTGTAAGGACAACGAACCTCGTAGAACGCAAAAGTTTAAGGGTATTTGAAAGTGTACCAGCCACATATGGAGCAGAAACATGAATATAGTGAGCATGTAACTGATGAAGACCTTGCCGTGCAGATTCCGGAGTTTCTGCACCTTGAGATACACTGCTGTCGTCAGAATCAAAAATGCTTTCGAAAGCAAAATCACTTAAAAGATTAAAAAAAAAGAATAATAATGAAGGAAAGGAAAAAGTCTATCTTAATTGGAGATACTCACGCTCATTCGCTCCCGGTTGCAGGGTCTCTGGGTTCTGGTTGAAAACGCTTTCATGAAAAGCCACCACAAGAGAGCCTCTGTTTTCTGAACTGAACTGGTCCGGGTGCAGGCAGTCATATCCCCTAAATGCCTGCTTCTCGCTGTTGTAGCCCTTGAGTAACGCACTTCCGTTCTAAGGATCTCTAATTAGTCTGAGAAACATAGGACTGGTGTGACAACAAACCTCGAACAATGTATACTCGTGTTCCTTCCAAATATCCCTGAAGCGCATTGCATCTCTTAACACTATGAAATCGCTGAGCAAGTTTCTTTTGACCACAGATCCGTTAAGGAGAGTCACGTTCAAGTAGGGATTGATGTCGCTTAGTTTATCCATCAGACCATCAGTGCATTCGCCATTGGGCTGCATGTCCTTGAATCGGCAACAGATCCAGATACAGGCCTTCAGGTGGCAGACACATCCTCGCGTGTGGTTTTCCGCTTTAATTTTGACTCCCCTCTCCGTCTCCATGTAGTCATACTGGCCAGTCAAATGTAAAGGAACTAACAAGCTATCCTGGTATAGGTAGGACCCATTTGGAAACTGCGGACTGAACGAGAGATCCACAGTTTCCATGTAATTGCAGCCGGGAATTTCCGCCTTCGATAAGTGCACCATGAAAAGCACAATAAATGTATTAAGGTATCCCAAGTAGAGCTTCATTCTGCTGTGAAACGCTTTCGGCAGAGACGAAATGCGGACTAAGTTTCAATGATTGGTGGCCGAGTAAAATATACTCTTTTGACAGCGATTTTTGGGAATAACAGAGAGCGCAAAGAGCGATTAGGTCTATACAGAGGGAATCGCTCAAGCACTGACCAAACTAGAACTACATAGGTATATTTCTAAGCTTAATTTGTATGCAACTTCTTAACTTATTATAAAATACATATTTAACCAGTCAGAGCCAGAGAAAAAAAAAACAACCATAAATAGGGGTAGTTTATTTATAGTTTTATTTCTTTTGTTTTACTTCAAGGTAATATATAATGGTTTTAAAAATATTCGAAAATTCCAAGTTTAATTCTCTTAATTTAAATTCTCTCTGTGTAGCAATATTCCCTAAGGGACTTGATCACGAAGATTTTAATTTCATGGTAATATATAGCAACAACAAAATAATATTGGGGTTCTCCAGAAACCGCTGGGGAATATAAAAACAAGCCCTAACACAATTTTCCACAATTTGTACACGAGTAAATATTTCTAAAATGTTTGCTGTAAGGTTGGTGACGCACTTAAATTGATTTTTTAGAATAATTCTTAGAAACGTAAAACATTTTAGAACAGAAAAGATGCTTAAATTTGCTAGAAAAGGTAAAATTGTTGTTAAAAATTTTAAAAAATACAAATATTACCTTTTTGACTTTATTTTTACTTTCTTTTCATTATGAATTTCATCTGCGGCCCCTAATCCATATTTATTTTTAATAATGGAAAATTTACTGGTGACAAAATTCACAGGTAAAAGTTAACTAACATTTCAAATTTCAGATAGGGCTGCCAGAGTTTTCGATAGTGAGTACCCAGCGTTGCCAGTGCTTTCGTTTACGAATCAGCGTTGCCAGTAGCCAACAATCGCGGTTTTTTTCTGGGATTTCGCGCATTTCGATGTTTTTTGGGGTAAATCATACGGTCACACTGGAGAAGAAGATTATGTTTAAGCATAAACTTGTTACTATAATTGTTACTAAAATCCTGGGAATATAACCATTATAAGAACAGGAGTCTGAAGCTTGGCCGAGATTACTGAAGCAGAAGATGGCGGACGACACCAACGAAGACAGCTGGCTCTACGGCACCTCCAACCCGGACTCGACTACCGGCGAATTGGGCAACGGCGGCGGCGGCGACGCGCTTACGGCGGAGCACGAGGCTGCGGCAGAGGCCCAAGCTCTGGCGGCCGTTGTGGCGGGCGATAAGCCGGGCTCCGCGTCCGGGGTCGATGCGGGGGGACAGTCGCCGCTCTTTCCCAAGGAGGAAGTGCCCGAGTACTCCGAGTTTGACGATCCCGCGCAGGAGATGGAGGAGGACGAGGAAGCCCTACCGGACACCACGGACAGCAGGAGCAGAAGGGAACGCGACCGCGATCGGGATCGGGATCGGGATGCGGACCGGGCAGACGCACATTCCTCACCAGAGCCGGAGGACGGGGAAATGATAGATGGCCCCAGTTCAAGAAGGGAGAGAAACGGGTCGGGCTCCGACGATGATGACGACGACGACTCGGACGACGATATCAACGTGGTGATTGGCGACATCAAGCAGGCGCCCAGCACCTACAACATCAAACAGCGTCCAAATCTGCTGGCTGGAGGCACTGGAGCCGCCGGCGACAAGGCTAAACCCGCCGGCCAGGCGGGCAAGTTCAGCATCGAGGACTTTGAGGGCGCCGGGACCATAAATGGAGTGGCCGTACACGAGTTCAGCATCGATTCACTGGAGGAGAAGCCGTGGCGCAAGCCGGGAGCAGACATCACGGACTACTTCAACTACGGCTTCAATGAGGAGACGTGGCGCGCTTACTGCGAGCGCCAGAAACGCTTCCGGGTGGCGGAGAGTGGCGTTGGCCTGGCCAGCCTCACGCAGAACGTATCACTTAACCAGAGCACTCCGATTGGCATCCTCACAGATGGCGGCATGGGCATCGGCCCGCCCGGCATGCACAGCATTCAGCCCATGGTGGGATTGGGTGGAGATGGAGGCATGCAGATGCCGCCGCCGGGAATGCCGCCGCCCATGATGCAGCACCAGTCACGGTCGGGCCTGATGCAGCGGCCACCGAGGCCGATCTCCACAACGGGCAGCGAAAGGGGTGGCGAGCGAGGAGGAGGCGGTGGCGTCAAGGAAAATGCTATTCAGGTGATGACCGCCGAGTGCCGAGAGTACTCGCGTGGTCTCGGGCCGATGGCTCCCAACTTCCCGCCACCCGGCGCCTCCGAAGAGCCCTTCTTCCATGAGCCGGAGCCCTTCGATTATGGTTACGAACCCACCCAAGAGTCGCAGTGGGGCAACGATAATGCAGGCTGGGTGCCTAGCGGTATCAAGGAACTGACCCCTGGCCATGCTCACATGCAACAGCCGCCGCCAGGAATGCCGCCTCCGGGAATGGGAGTGCCACCGCCACAGATGGGCGGCCCGCCGCCTAATTTACGGGGAATGATGCCACCCAACATGCGCATGCCGCCAAATATGGGTGAGTCCCTGACTATTGTGTATAGGGTTCTTCAAAGCTAACACTTGTGATACATATTTCAGGCATGGGACCGCCTCCAGGAATGATGATGGGGGGGAATGGACCTCCACAAATGCGAATGGGCATGGCACCGCCACAGAGAATGGCCATGGGCGGTAAGAACGAAGTCCATTTTTAAGGTAAAAGCTGCGTTTATATTTATTTTAAATTTGTTTGCTTCGCAGATCGTGGCAGTTACGAGGACGACCGTGAGCGTAGACGTCGCGAAAAGGACAAGCAGCTGAAGAGGGATCAGGTATGGGTCAATGATAGCTTTTAATATTATTAAACTAATAGCAGATTAATGTCCTTAACAGCTACGTAAGGATTTTCTGGACATGCTGAGGGAACGACATGACATCGAGCGACACACGCGGTGGTACGACGTGAAAAAGAAGTTTGAAGCGGATCCGAGATACCGAGCTTTGGACTCGTCGTATCGCGAGGAGTACTTCGAGGACTATCTGCATATGTTAAAGGAGGAGAAGCGCAAGGAGCGAGACTTCAAGGAACGGGAGAGGCATCGCGAAAAGGAGCGATCGCGGGACAAGGACAAGGAAAAGGATAAAGATAAGGATAAGGACAAGGACAAAGACAAGGACAAGGAGAAAGAAAAGGATAAAGATAAGGACAAAGACAAGGACAAGGATAAGGACAAAGAGAGCTTGCGTCGCGAGCGCTCCCGATCCCGCGAAAAGTCCAGCCGCCGCAAGTCCAAGTCCCGCGAGAAGGATCGTAGCGAACGCAGCAGCAAAGGAAGTGGCAGCAGCTCCTCGACATCCACTTCCACTCGCAGCGAGAAGAAAAAGTCACATCGCAAGGACAAGGAAGAAGAGGAATAGCATTTGCTTAGGTACTATTTGGATGACGCCCAAGAAGCAACTCCCTAGGCTGCCCACCCTAAACAAATAACAAAAATCCAAACGAATATCTGAAAATTCACTTCCAATAAACGAAGAAAGCCGTAATTGGCGATAGAGGAAAGAAACTGAGAGTTGTGTGAAGTAAAATACACTTTGTATATTGTAAAGGAAACCAAGTAGTCTTAATTGGGTATTTCGATGTTAAATGATGGAAATCCTGTTACACATTAAACCATGGTGGGTCAAAAATGTGTACACTTTGTTTTTGTACTCCTGGAGGAGTTGTGTTTCTCCAAAAAGCCTTTGTTTTTCAGATAAGATGGCATAACTCGCCAATACAACGTAGAGCTGAAAGAGTGGCCATCTATATTTTTTTATATTTAATTATTTTATTTTGCATAGAACTGATTTTGCAATTAAAATGTACACAATTGGTATTTGTTCTGCACTTCTCAATTATTTGTTCATAAATCACACCCTTGACAATGCTCCCATTAAAGTCAATATTTTGTTCTTCACAATGAACTAGTGAGTGAAAAAAGTGACACAATAAAATAATTAAAAATTGTCTGCATATTTAATTCCACAAAAAAAGGGCAAGATTTACCGCGGCATCATTTAATCCCATTCATGTCAGACAATTGATGCGGTATTGTGTCTGCGACACTTTAAATAAGAACATCATGCTGATTTTTAATAGGTTTATGCATTTATTTATTTGTGTACACATAAATGTGTTGTTCCGGTGGAGAATGGGATTCACATTTGAAATAAAACAACAAGTGACAGCCACACAAGTGCGGTCTTAATTAACACGAAATAAATGTGTTTGGTTTTCACAGATTCATGAACGGCACAAGGAAAGTAAATACATATTTTATTAATCTGCTGAATTAGTAGTGTATGGCTTTGACTTAATTGACATGGTAATTGTCGCAATAACCCATGAATTTTGAATAAACCAAATATTGGATAATTAGGTGTGACTGAAACGGATTTTCTTAGGTCTAAGGTCGGGTTAGTTGTAAAAGTTTTGTGGGTTAGTTTGAGTTGGCTTTGAATTACATTCTGCTTGAGTTAGCTAGGACTAGGGACTATATGTAGGTATATATATATATTAGAACTGATATTTTAGTTTGATTTCCTCTATGTGGATAGACTTCAGTTAATGCTTGACACACATGCACTTGATGGGAGTAGTTTACAATTTGACTACGCTAAGACATCATGATCGTAGAGCGGTTACAAAATATACCATATATCGTAGACAGTGAGACAAACCTTTATCGATCTCCTATTGGCACCCGCCTACTTGGTTTGTGTTTATTTAAAAGTAACAACGATTGTCTTTAGAAAACTAAATTCACGTATGCGAGACTTATTCGATAAATATGTTTGAATATCCGCTAATATCCGCTAGTATTCCGACTGAATTCAAACTCTAATTACTTCTTTGATTCTCAAAAGGAACATCATGTACACATATTTCCATGTGCTTTTTATATACTCTATATATTTAGTTTAATTGAAAAATCCATGCTAGTGGAACAGAGAAACAGCCCGAATGCTCAGATCAGATATACACATAATAGTATGTAGGTAGTCATTATGATTACTTGACAGGTTCAGTATAAAAGTTTAAGATATTTTGCAATGAGTTTACTTAGTTTTCTTTGAGTCTTCTTAAGAGTGTTTAATACTTTTCAAGAAGTGTTTTAGCTAGTGGTAAGTTACCATTATTTACTTATAGAAAGAAACTTGGAAAAATGAACAATGAGAATCTACATATTGGAAAGTTAAAATTAGTTTAAATCAGACTCTAAAGGTATGTTTGGTTGCTCCAGAAGGCTTCAACAAATAACAAAATATATAAATATTAAAAAATAATTTCAGAGATAGCAAGTAGAAAAGTTATCCAATGAAACAAACCCAATCAATTATAATTAGATCAATTACCTTGATTTGTACTACTTTGGCAACTTGAAATGAATAAACGCGAACTCATTTGATTGAATCTATGTAGGCTCTAGGATCTACGTATTCGACTTGGCGATTTGCCGATGCATTCTATGAAAAATGGACAATGACTCGGGTTCTAACCACAACTTGAACTAATTCTCAACTAAATTGTACTTTCATTTGCAGCTGGAACCAAGTTGGCATTCGTTGAGGTACTTTGCTTTCCACATCACAACATTGACAAATCATTCACATACTCGCTCACACATCACTCTGGTGGCTAGACTTTAAGGACTTGAGTTAGGTAAGAATCGGAGCGAAAATTTGAATTCAACACTGTAAAATAAACTAAATTATTTAATAGTTTCAAGAACGAAATCTAAAGATCTTTCATATGGAATGTTTAAAGAAGGGAAAATAATAATACCTTTATATAGTTTTAGTAATATTAATATATGTATAACTAAAAGTTTACTCATAATCTTTTTGTAATTGCCACCATTTTACACTCACTCCGACTTGCACACTCACTCGCTCACACACTCAAACTGGGTTCGGATGAGACCTAAAGCTTTGTTCGGCCGCCCTTTTTTTGGGGGTCTTAGATTGTGCCCTATCTGCTTAGCAACTGCTCCACATTCAGGGTCAGCTCCTGGCCGGATCGGCTCCCGTTATTGTTGTTGGGCGCCACTCCGTTGGAGTTTGAATTGGAATTGGGGTTGGTGTGGCTGCTATTGGCACTGTGGGCGTACATCCCGTTCAGGGTTCGAGAGGGCGCCGGTGATGTGGGGGCAGACAGCTGGGGAGGACTCAAGGGCGGCAGCGAGGGCAGCGGCGGCGACTGAGCCTCCAGCGTCGAGGGCGGACTGCGGTTAAGGTTGCTGTCCAGGCTACTATGGTGTTGTGAGGAGGCCGGCGATAGCGGGATCTCCTCGATCTTCTCCAGATCCTGGGTGATCGAGGCCGAGTTTTGCTTATGGGCTCGGGTCAGCGTTCCCTTGGGACTGCGGGAGGTGTCGTGCAGGAGCGGTATGTCCAGCATGGAGCACTTGACCCCAGTCCCTCCGCCGCCAGCAGCAGCACCAGAACTAGCCACCAGGGAAGAGTAGTTGGTGGCCTGCAGGGAGTGCTGGTGGTGCTGCTGCTCTCCCTTCGCCTGCTGGTCGTCGCGATCCAAGCTGAACTGGCGACGCAGCAGGCGACTGGAGCCGGGCTTGCTGTCGAAGCGGGCAGCGCCTCCAACGCTACCGCTGCCGCTTCCGGTTCCGGCCATCGCGGGGCAGACGCCGCCGCTGCCCTGTCCGCTGCAATGTCCGCTTCCTGCCCCGCCCCCCGAATTTCCGTAGAGGTATTTGCCGTCGTAAAACTGCGTGAGGTTGCTTTCACTGGGACTGAGGCATTTGTAGTGGTTGTACGGAGAACTGAGGTCCATCATCTCCTCAATTTTCTTGTACAGCCTGGAACTGGATCCTCCTGTGGAGTTTGGCAGCCGGTTGAAGCTGTTTGGGTTCAGCAGATTATCCGGCGTAAGTTCGGAGAGCTTGCGGGACTGGGGACTTGTACTGCTCGGCGTTGTCTTGCCCGGGAACTCCGGGCACAGCGTTGCGTTGGGGCTGATGGTGTTGGTGGAGTTGGAGTCCAGGGAGTACGAGTTGGGCAGATTTGCCCCAGAGCCCAGATCAGCGTTCGTCGGCGGAGTAATCTCCACCTTTACCTCCACGGACTCTCCGGCCAGCGAGGAGCTTTGGGACGAAGACGGGTTCGTGCTCGTCCGGGATTTGTTGGCCTGTGCCTTGAGGGTGATCGAGTTCCGGATGAGGGACTCATCCAAGCTGGGGGATTATTAAAATATTAATTATAAAACCTAAATAATCGTGGAGTAGCTTTTGGAAACCTACCCATGTGACTCTCTAAAGAGGGTGGAGGAATGCATATGGTAAAATTTAGATATTAGATTAAGGATTAGCATAAAACTAAACTAATATTAGACAGTAAAAGCTGAACTGATAAATCAATTAAAAATTAATTGAACAATTAATAAAAAGTCGTCACTAATATTTAATTACAATTTTTATATCAACCGAAAGAAGTTTTAAAAAAATAATCCTTTTTGCAAGTAAATGGTCTTGATAAACCATTTGGACATCTTCACAGATAAATAAATAAATAAATCAAACCTTTAATCTAGGAAAGGAGCATTTAATTAACAAATACTCACCCGATCGGCGGTGGTGCTGGCAACGGCTTATCGAATCCCTTCTTGCCCAGCAACCAAAAGGTGTTCATCATGCCCTTGCCCTTGATGTCGATGAGGCCCCTTGGCTCGATGGCATAGCCACCTCGGGCCTCCAGTCGGTCCCTTGTCTCCTGAGACATGTGTATGCGCCAAGAGGAACCTGAGAAAACAGAATTCTCTGGTGACACATGGCCCAAATGGGGATGAGCTCCAATTACCCGTAGACTCCATTCGCGATGCTGTGTTCACAGTGTCCCCGAACAGACAGTATCGCGGCATCGTGAGACCAACTACTCCTGCACAGCAGGGACCTGTGTGAAGTCCTATCCTTAGCTGTAGAGGAACACCTGGCAGATGTTTCACATTGAAGCGACCACTCTGGTGGAGCAGGTCCAGGGCCATGGTGGCGATCTGCTCGGCGTGATCGGGTATCTTCACGGGCAGCCCACTTACGACCATGTAGGCATCGCCAATGGTCTCCACCTAATTGGCAAAATATTTAGGTGTTAATTAAACATAAATAATATCTCAAGACTATATTTATATTTTACCTTGTACACATTGTAGGCATTGATCGTGGCATCGAAAATCGTGTAGAGATCGTTGAGCAAATCCACAACCTGCACGGGACTGCAGTGGGCAGCGATTGTTGTAAAACCAACAATGTCGCTAAAGTATATAGTCACGTCGGAGAACTCCTCCGGGTCGACGGCCAAGCCCATTTTTAGTTTCTCAGCCACCGAGCTGCGGATAAGTTATTTGATCAGTTTTGCTTAGTTTATAGGAAAACTTGTAAGTTCAAACCTTGGCAGCATGCGATTCAGCAGCTGTTCAGTCTTCTTTCGTTCAATGTCCAGTTGTTCGGTGCGCTCCCGAATCAGTTCCTCCAGATTGTTTGAGTACTTCTCGAGCATTTGGAACATGGTGTCTACAAAGTTCACTTTGCGGCCGTGGTTCAGCATCTTGAAGCGTTCATAAACTCTAAAAAAAGGAATGGGTAACCCATTAGTAATTCTTAATTATGAAAATTATGAAATATCTAAGACTCGTTTACTAAAATATTTCTTGTGATCTATTAGATATTGTATCTATTAGTATTATTATATATACAAACTTACGAGTTAAAATCGGGTCGCATGTCAGGCTGCTCGGCCCAGCACTGGCGCATGATATTGATGGCCTCCGGCGGAGCGGCTCCCTTGGACACAGAGGGCCGTATCAGTGGCGGTGGCTTCTTGATCTTGGCTATAATATCCTCCGGCGAGAGGGAGAGCATGCAGTAGGGTTCGCCCCTCACCACCACCTCCTGCATGATGATCCCAAAGGAGTAGACGTCTCCGAGTTGGGTGCCCAACTGGATGCGTCCATGTTGATGGTGATGATGGTGCTGCTGCTGGTGGTGCTTCATGCTGCGCAGCAGCTCCGGAGCAGTCCACAGCAGTTCCTTGGCGCTCCTGGGCATGGGTGGCAGCCCCTGGGACTCGTAGAAGGAGCTCAGACCATAGTCGGTGATCTTGAGTACCCACCGGGCGTCCACCACGCAGTTCCTAGAGGTCAGTGCTCCGTGAACCCTCAAGGGAGAGGTGTGCAGGTACCGCATGCCCCTCACCAGGTCCGTGAGTAAGCTCAGTCGGAATGACCAGTCCAGCTTGATTTCATCCATGATCAACACGTCCTGCAGGGATCCCCGCGAGCAGTAGTCAAAGACCATGGCAGTCCGGTTGGGATCTGAGAGCCATCCTATTAGTGGATTGATATTTTCGTGCCTCAAACCATGGGCCATCACAAGGAGATCCATCGCCTTGGCTCGCAGCTCTGCGGATCCATTCATATGCACTTCCTTGAGTTGCACCAGGTCGCCATTGTATCTCGCCCTCATGTCCAGATGGGCGGGATTGTGCCTGGCCAAGCTGCCCGTGGCGGAGGATATACTCTTTCCATTCACAGTGGCTGCGGTGGTTCCTCCAGAATTACCCGGAGCAGCTGCTCCAGGTATCACGAAACCAAGATTCTTTAGGGAGCCAATAGAGCCCTTGAGCAGATCCGGCTTATCCACCTCCGGGCCACCGAACTCCTGCAGCTGTTGCAGCCAACAGCAGAGCATGGCCTCGATGCCCTCGTCAACCTAAAACGAAGAGGAAGTATTGTATAGGAGAAAGAGATGGAATTTAGTTTGAGAGCTAAGTTCTTACCCTTCGAGAATCCACGGGGAACACAAAGTCACTCGCGGAGAGCACTATCTTGTTGGGTCCCTTGGACAGCCGCTTTCGCAGGAAATAGTTTCTGAAAGAATTCAGTCATTACATTAACTTTTGTTTTTTAAGAAGCTGGAAATAGTTCAAGGTCAGTTTACATATACATATTATATATAAAGATATATCATCTTTAGATACTAAATAAAAACTAAATATTCATTGAAGTAATCTCTCAACTTTAAATAGGCAAAGACTTCACCTATTTAGCAGGTCCTCTCAATTATCTATGGTATCCCATTAGGCAAATTCTTAGCCACTACTTCAGGACAGCGTGATCCTTTATATTCGGCCAATGCAATCTGCATCCATTAACACAGAAGCCCTATACCTTAACCCACTAGCCCCAATGAACGACCCTCGTGTCGTTGCGGTTGGGACCATAAAAACTTTTTACTACTACCTGCTTACTCGCACCCAACACCTCGAATTGGCCAGAAGCTCTGGAAAAATAGGAGGAGCCTGCGAAACCGCAAATTCATGCAGCAATTGTTATGCCAGAAGTTCGCCACGTGGCCGGAGTCAAGTTGGGTTAAGTGTATTAGGGGCATTAATGGGCTGCTCGCTGTTTCAGCAGGAAAAACTCTTTGGGCCACGTGTGTCGCTTGTTAACTAGATTTCCAGATCCGCCCACCCGAAAAATAACAGACAGCGGATTCACTATTCTCATGAATGGCCGAACTTCTCGGCAAACTGGGTAAAAGTTTAACTAGTTTTAGGGTATTGACAATGCTTGATTTGAAGCAATTTTAAGGTAAATCAAAAGAACAAATAATTTAGATAAATATTCATAATTTATGAATTTTATTTATTCCGATTTTTGAGATATTAAAGCACGTAAAGAGAATAAATTAAATGAATTTTTATTAAACCACAAAACATTCAAACTTTTCAGGAGTAATTAAGGGATTTTAAAATTTTCAGCAAAACCAAGCTTTATTTTTATAAATGAAATATTAATATTATTAATAGTTGATGTGAATAAACGAAATATGAAAACCTTGAATGTTTTTTTTCTACATTTTAAACAAACTACATTGAAACCATCCCTCTTTCCTCATTAGCAAAATCCGTTTAAGGGAAGCTCGTCGAGCGTGAATGATAATGCTTTTATATAAAAAATGTACACACAAATTTTAGAAAGTCCCCCCTGGAACACCAATGCTTATACTTTTGTTTTTCCATTTTGTGTGCCGCGGATTATCCCAGCACTTTGTCAAATGGAACGCCCAAGGGTATTTAAGCATCGTTATAGTAGAGTAACTTTTTTATTTTCGCCTCGGCTGGGGCTTTGCTCCTTTCCCGCACAGGTGTGTCCTTCCCGGGCTGGTTGTCCATTTGTTGGATCCCTGTTTTTTGCCCTGTTTTGTTTCGTGTCGCTCTCGCTAATTAAAACTTCATGAGTTGCATTTTAGCTGACGGTGAAAAAAAGCCCTCGGTTCGTTGCGGTTTAAAGTTGCCAGCGATGTTAACTAGCTTAAATCGGGCTATTTGTGCTGCGATTAATGAGGGCTTGCCTGGATCTGGATCTGGGTTTGAGTGTTAACACCCGTGGGCCACAGGAAATGTTCTGACGGCATGCCGAGCAGTAAATGATTTGTCCTACCGCACTTGACGGCGTGTTTTTGTGTATAAATGTCAAACGGCAGGCGGCGCTTTGATGAATGTAATTAATTAATTAAATGCTTGCTTTAATAGAACCCACATTGTGCGGGCTTGAATGGATGAATAGTGGGAGCTGAATGTGCGGTCGGGTATTGATTTTCCACGCATGATTTCCAGCAGCCGCAGACTAAAATCTGACATTAACAGAGCTGATGCTGTATGGTATATATACATATTGCCCGCTGAGTGTTTGACTTTGGCCTGAATAAATTATTATAAGTGTGCATTAACAATTAGCTGAATACTAAGTGGGTTAAGTGATTCAAAAATTTCAATTGGAATTGATTAATATGATGGAAAATTCTTTACGTTGCTCTCTGTTTGGTTTCTGTTTCCATTTAAACAATTTTCCGGCCATGCCTGAATACATCATCTGGCCAAATACAATTAAAAGCGAAATTACATTTTATGTTCGCAGTGAAAACTACAACTGGCACAGCAATTGGCAGTAGCTAGGAAAAAGGGAAAATAGAGCTGCGAGGCTGAATGGAAATTGCCACGCGCAAAAATACGTTATGCCCAATCCGATCCCGATCCAAGGATATTGGGGCCATTGCGTGGGACAAGGATTTACAGAAAGATGAACGAGGGGCAGCCTTTCGGGCGTGCTAATTGAATATTTGCAGGCGAGAGAAAAGTTTGGAGAACCGCGGTAAAGGGGAACCCCGGAGGGAATCTTAATTACGCAACAACAGTTGTTTCATCTTGAATTTTAAATGCGAATTGGTGGGTTCCAGCCCTCGAAGTCCCTGGAATTTTAGCCTTGAGTCATAGCCAAAAACTTTAAAGCAATCATAAATTCCATTTTGAAATAAATTAAATATTTTAAACATTTCAAAATGATTAATCCAAGGAGAATCGTTTAAATCTTTGGTTAGATAAGAAACTAATAGAACGTTTGATAGTATTTCGTATACAGTTTTTAAAATACTCACCTCATGGCAATCCCGGCTGCCACACTGGCCACCACGATGATGACCAGCAGGCCCACGCAAATGGCCACTATGGTCCAGCAGATGGCGCCGCACTGCCATAACTGGACACTGCTGACCAGCAGCCACTCATCGTACCCAGGCTGCACGGAGTGGGTTATGTATGAGCCGGTGCCTCCACCGGCCGCCGACCCATTCTCCCAACCCCGCCTGTCGCTCTCCAGGATGAGCAGGGGTCGCCACTTGTAGGTGGCCAGCGGGACATCCCTAACGATGTCCAGCACAACGAAATCATATTTGGGAATTTCTTCCACTCGATCCGATTGCGTTGCCGTAGTCACAACCAGGTCATACAGGGGGACGAGGTTGCGGTACGGATACAGCTTGTCCAGACTGGCATTGTGACGGCCAGTGGCCAATGGTTCCGCGTGGCTCCCGTTCTCCCCGCCTCCATTGGGCGTGCGAAAATTCTGCATTGTTGCCATCAAACCGGCCGCATTCAGAAAGTGTCGATGTCTGTCGCTTAGCAGAGTCAGCACCAACAGATTGCTGCTCACCATTGCCGACTGGGAGCTGGTATTCCGGTCGGAGTGCCCCTCCCTCTGCCCCTGCCTCTCCGTCCGCCCAATGCGTGTCAAATATTTGTAGAACCGATGCTCGACATCCAATGAGCTGGCCACCATGTCGATGAGGAGTATTTTGGTGTGCTGCCTCCAACGCCCCGAGGCCTCCACCTCCTCCTGCTCCTGCTCTCGCTCCTGTCGCGCCCACTCGGGTCCGATGCTGGAGAGGAGGCGTAGATTGCTTGCATCGTTCAGCGGGGCCGTGATGATAATTGCTGAAAGTTGAAGCCACACAGAGCAAAAGTTTTAATATTTTCTTCACATTATAAAAGTTATCTTAGAAAACAAATGAAACAGTAAGTGGTTTAAAATGCATTTCGAATATGTTTTAATATTTTGTCTCAATCAAGGGATTAAATATTTTTATTTATGGCCCTCAGTGCAGTGGATCCAGTGGCCAGGAGACGCGCTACTCACCTTTACCCGGCTTATCCTGCCCATGCAGGTCACGTATTGTGCTGCCAATTTCGATGCGATACGGCACATGCAAGTTGGCCGCTATGGCCAGTCCTAGGCCCCAATTGTCGTCTGAAAAATAGAATGAAAAAAGGCACTGAATAAGGGCGAGTGAGAACGGGAGGCGGAGCCGGGGACACTGTCGGATGTTGAAATTAAATTGCGTTTTTGTGGCACGTAAAGCGATGGTGTCATGTGTGTCCTGGCTGTTCCCTGATGCACCCCCTGTGCAATTTTACAGCCCGTCCTGGGTTCATAATGAGCATTTTCATGGGGTTTTGTATGCGGCTTGCTTATGCAGTCCGAATTCATTGTGACCAAAGGTGGATATGGAAGAGGATTGTGGGTATAATTAAATGCGGTACAAAAGAGTCCTAGGGGCAATCTTAAGAAGGGATTCGGATAAGGTCACTTCATGGAGTTTACCAACATTTAAAGGGAAGTTATATTATAGTATTTTGAGTTCGAATAGTAAATTTCACAGACTTATGGTAAGGAATCATATTGTGCGCGGCAAACAAATTTAAAACTTAACATTAAAAATGGTCAGTTAAAATGTAATGAAATTGTTCACAATATTATCTTGCAGCTTTAAATTTATTTTACAATTGCCTCAAGAATATAACATTTAAACAATTTCAGAATGCTGCCGGAAGAATGCATACAGCGAACTTGCACTAGCCGAACTTGCAATGACAGTTCCTGAAGCCGGGCTTCTGAGTCATTGGGAGTGCCTCAATGGCTCCCTTCTTCGCCTTGGGCTTCGGACCCTCGGGAGGAACGTCCCAGCCACCGACGTCAGCCATGAATCCGCAGTGCTTCTCCGCCGCCTTGGGACAATGACACTTGTCCAAACTGGCGGCAGCTACTCGAGCGTTGAACTCCTGCTCCGTGGTGGGGGCTCTGGGTATATATTGAATTGGATTGCAGGCCAGCACCCGCCAGTTGGGATGCGGAGCCAGGTAATCAATGCCGCTGTCCAGGATCTCCTTGGCCATTTTTTTGCAAACCACAGGATCGTCTATGGCGGCCATTAGGCGACTGTCGAACTTCTTTTCCTCCTCCGCCTGGATGCGCTTCATCTCTGCGATCTGGGCGTCCAGGTCTGCCTTGTAGCGGAGCTTTCGGCACATGATCATTTCGTGGGTGACCTCTGGATGAACGAAGCGATTCTCTGGCATTTTGTTCTCACGCAGCTCTGCATCCCAGACGAGCCTTCTCTCGTAGTCCTCACATATTTGCTTACGCAGGATTTCGTAGCACTTGTCGGCCTCTTCGCGCTTCAGCCGAATCCTTTCCTTGATATTGACCTTGGTGCAGACGTCCAGCTGGAAGAGGTCGGCGGTGCGCTCGTCCATCATCTTCTCGATGCCCAGCTCCAGGGACTGCATGCGGCGCAGATAGGCCAGGTACTCCAGAGTGGCTCTGTTGAGGTCCTTCTTGGACTGGGCAATCCTTTCATAGGCCTCAGCCTCCAGGCGCTGCGTTTCGAGGCAGAAGGCCCGATGCTCAGCCTTGTCTGCCTCCCACTCGGCCAGGCGAGCGCAGTGCTTCCGCTGAATCTCCTTGAGGAGCTCGGCCTGGTAGGCCAGCTGATCCACAGGGGCAGGCTGGTGCTCCTTGTCGAACTCCTCCAGGCGGATCTCCTCCAGCAGAGCGTTTATGACCCGCTCCTCCTCCAACTTCTCCGCAAGCGCCTCCTTTCGCTTCTCCTCGTGCTCAGCCACTTGGATGCCCAGGACGTGTTTAACTTGCTCCTGAACCTGCTGGCGCTTCAAGTCCTCGTCCGCCTGATTGCAGTCGTACTGGGCCCACCGTCGGCGATTCAGCTCCAACCACTCTTGCTCCAGCTGGCACTCTCGCCGCTTCTTTCGCTGATTCTCGAGGATCTGCTCCTCCTGGATTATCTTAGTCTCAATGAGGTCCTGATGGCGCATAGCCTGTCGAATCTCATAGCAGTCCAGCATCATCCTCTGCAGGTGCTTCTCCTCGAGGAACTTCTTCTGCTGCTTGGCCACCTGTTCCTGGATGGCGTTCACGTGTTCCTTGCGCTCATTCATGCGTGTCTTTACGGTGTTGGAGAACTCCTCTTCGTAACGCTTGTGCTCCTCGTCGAGCATCTTCTTCAGCCTCTGGCTACGCTCTTGCAGCTCCTCGGCACTGACTTGCTTCGCCTTGGCTACCAGTAGCCCGATCTGAGTGTGCAGGCTCTTCCGGTCCGTTCGCTGGATAAAGTCGAAGTGGTCCGCTCCACGACCAGAGTTATTCATCGTGGCGAGGCTATAAATCTGACTAATCAAAAAGTATATATGGAAAGGTATGGATCATGCTATGATAATTTTCTAGATGTGACTGGGTTTTAAGAGATTCGTGACGCTAATGTCAACGTAACAGCTTAAAAAGGTTTCTTTTATATTTTAATTAAAGTGATTAACTGCAGAAGAGCCCACGGGTGGTACCTCCTTGTAGCAAACCATTTCCCGATACACAACTGCCTTTTTCGTCGGATAAATGAACTTGATTTATGATGGCCCTCAGAGGGCAAAGCCACATACACAAGTACACCTTGGCAGTCCCCTTTGGGACTCCATAAAACTGACTAATATCCGCAGGGCAAGTGGTTCATAGATCATGTATAATGCTGAGCCCATAAAGTGCACTATTCCGCCAATAGATTTTCCCGCATTGTCATGCCAATGGGCAGATCTCTGAAACGGTCTCACGGCTCTGCAAAATAATTTATTATCGAAAAAACACAAAAATATGGCTAAAATCTGGGCAAACCCGTAGAAAAGCATGCATTTTCATAGCAGCTAATGAGACACAGCCCATACGCAGCGCTGTCAAAGGCATTTAATACAATTACGCAGCTTCACTGAGCTCCCGAAATTAAATTACTCTCAGGTGAAAAAGAGATTGTATTCTCTGAGCAAAATATTTAAAAACGCCTCTGGTTGATGCCAGGATTTGGCAGGCTTTTCATTTCCTTTTTCCACTTTCCCTTCCCTCTATCAACTCAATTAGCAATGCAGCTGACAACACGCTAATTAACTGAGATGTGAGCTGGAAAAACTTGCCAAAACTTGAAGGCAGCCACGTGTACAGGGAAAGCAGCAGAAGAAAATGGGAAAGAAGACGGGATGTTAAGCTTGTGCACTGAACAAAAATATAATATATTTCATGTCGAACACAGTCGACTTTAGCTTTCTTAGTAGTTTTTGAATTAATTTAAAATATAAGAAATATTATTAAATTAAAGTCAAAGTTTTACGAGTAAAGAAAGGTGTTTCCAAGGATTTTCCCGAGTGTGAGGCGCAACTTTATGGCTCAGCTAGGAGTGGGGAGTGAAAAGGAGGTAGTGAACTGCTTCTGCTCCTGCCCTTGCTCCAGCCCCTGCCCCTGCTCCTGCTCCTGCTCCTGCTCCTGCTCCTGCTCCTGCTCCTGCTCCTGCTCCTACGATTGGCAAGTGCATGTTTGCCCAAGTGCAAAATTGTGCAATTACGCAGCGCAGCAGCGACTGGCAGGGCCAAGACGTATACTGGGGAGCGGCCGAAGACGACATCCTGCGATGGCTCAGTGTGAGCCTTAGCCATATGCACTCCGACTGGGATTTTCTTTTCGCTGCCCCTGCCAGCTCCAACCCTGCCGCATTCAGGACAAAGTTGTGCGGTTGAATTTTCAGGCAATTTGCATAGTTTCCACGAACAATAACAAAACGTAATAACTGCTGGGACAAAGATAACCCGGTCGCGTGTGTGTGCGGGTGTGCGTAATAAGCCGCTGCAGCTGTTCTGTTATGTTCTGTTTAAACTGGAAGGCCGAAGGGCAGAGGGCTGCTCCTGATTTGTTTCGAGCTCCTTTTGATGCGATTCCTCAATGGCAGGGATTTCCCATTATCCGCATTTCTATATGAACTGTGAACTCAGCTCGTGTGTGGTTAATTCCTCTGCATTGCTCCTGCAAGGCCAAGGCTTTCCGCACACACGCTAGTGCTGCAGGAAAAGCCATAGGAAAAGCGCATACTTAACGCCAACTGTCTGCTGCACTCACAGTCGCACACACACACACACGCGTGGCACTCTCATGTGAACACAGATGAGTGCTCTTCATGCTCGTATTTGCATTTGTGCTTTTTCATTTTATGCATTTAAATATTCATGCGCTCGACTCAAAATTTAAATTGCGGCGCGTTCACTCGTAGCTGTGTCTGACATAATATACGCAAACAGTTGCGGCGAAATAAAAAGGTAGCTTCAACATTTTTTGTTTTGCTAATGAATAGGAAAACGTTGATTTATCTTGAACGTTTCTTGAAGTTGTTGGCAACATAAAGGCTTTCAGTCAAACGTAAACTTTTATTTAAGAGGCCAGTTTATACAATTTATTTATCAAAGGGGTAATACACCTTCATAATATGGACTATTTTAATGCATTTTTGAAATATTATTTCTCAGATATCGGACTAAACAAAGTCAACGGAACTTAAAGAATATTATGGCTTTTTATTAAGAATTTTTAAATATATATTCTTAGAATAATAGAGTAAATATTATTTGGTTTTCATTCTTTGCAAACCAAATTACTAATATTTTGACCACTGCTGTACTTGGTAGCCACACATATACATAACTACAGTGCATTTTAAATGTTTGTATGGGTTAGCCACCAGGTTTGGTCAGCCAAGCGTTGTTATTTACCAGAAACTCAACAGCAGAGGCAACAAAAAAAAAAAACAGCATTCCAAAAGGGTTTCCAACCAACAAAATAAGTCAAAAAGAGAAGAATTGCATTAGAAATTCCATAATATAACAGAAGCCGCACAATTCTGCCCCACCGAGCGTCGCAATCCAGGCGGGTAAACGAAATAAATGCGACGTGCAGCGCTTTTACTCTCAGTTAGGGCTAGTTAGGAAGTTGCTTCTTTCTCCCTTTGTTGTTGCCAAAATAAAAAAATCGAAAAGATAAACGGTAAAAATTGTGGCTGAAAACACGCAGAAGCACAAATAAACGGCCAGGCAGGTAAATAAATTGGCCACAACCATAAAAAAGGGGGAAACAAACTGTAGCAGATTGTAGATGCATACGGGATCCGCTTCCATTTATCTCTAAGCCGCGGAACGCCCGTGCCTGTTCCGTCCAAATGCAATCAACACATGTCGCACGTGGCGTATACGTTATATCATTTGCATAGGCATACGCCATGCGCCATGTGTCATGCGAAATGATGTCAACAATTGAATCCCAAATGCGAGCTGGCTGAGGAAGCTTTATATTCGAGTTGAAGGGAAAGAGTCCCAGCCGACGACCTCTTGCCATTAAATGGCCATCATAAACTTGTTCCTCCATCAAAACCAAGTTTCAGTTCACAGATGGCACCGCACATGTTCCATCAAACGGCACTTGTGTTAACCCAAAAGGCTGCCAAAACTTTGGGTGCACATTACTTAAAATATTCACACATTTACTGGGTCCGGAGGGACATTAAAAATTAAGCCATCATTTACCCAGAACGCCTGCCACGAAAGATATGTATGCCACAGAGTTTCTTTTTATTTAATTGAGCATTTTCAAGCCTTATCGGCACAACTTCAGCCTGGAAAAACACAACCCAGAACTTTAACATAATTATGTTAATATGCGTGTGTGTGCTTTTCTGGTAGTGGAAAAACTTGCCGAGTACTTTCCAGCTGTACTCTTGGCAGTTTTCATTGTTAATGGGGGCGGCGGGTGAAAAAGTTGCTGCAGTCCATCGAAATGCAATTAAAGTTGCAAATTGCTTTTGCGCGTACACACAATTTACATAATGCAGGCGATATAATCTTTGAGCACAAAGTTTCCCGCCAAGTTCTGAGCAGTTCAATTGATTGGATCCCCCACATTGTCATGGTCCTCGTCAATGGCTTGTTGTTGATATGTAGATATGCAGATAAAGATACAGATAGACGAGCAATGAAATTTTCTTTTGGATCACACGGCCAAAGTCACAGTGAAAGTCAAACCAATCAGCGTGAAAGCCGGGCCAATAAATCGCCGGCATATGGCTCTTGGTTCCTGGCTCCTGGCCAGTAGACACCTTTTTATGGCCTTCGACTCCATTAGCTGTCACTTAGCGTAAAGCAAACCATAAATAGGCGGACGGCAACGGCAACTCGCGCTAATTACGCTGTCATAAAGGCGAATCCGCGCCGATGTTGATGGGCGTTGCCCAAAAGTCGGCCTGCCCGACCCATCACGTTAATTGTTAAACACTTGAGATTAATGTCCAGTTGCGGGCGAGGGGTGGGTATTCAGCAGCATCCTCCGGTTTATGGCCTATTTATAGACAAAGATGTTGCAGCATTATTCATAAAAATGTTTCCAGTCTCCACCTAAGGCAACCCAGCAGGATTCATGGGGGCATAAATCAAAGGAGGTGCGTGTGGCGTCCTCCTCTTCCTGTTTGGCCAACTAAGCGCCCATCAAGGACCTCAGACCCGGGTCCTGGCGCTTCCATTCCTCATTCACCCAGCACAGATGTGCGTTCTCTTGGCGTGAATCTGACTCGGTCACGTTCTATGGATACTAAATGTGTTTGATGTGTGCGTTTCTGGTGGGTTTCTGAGTTTCAGAAGAACACTGTCCAAAAAGGGAGATTTTTGTATTTCAATTTAATTTTTTTTTCAAATAAACATGAAACTTTTCTTGCTCTTTTTTTTACATTTATTTTTAATGTATTATTATTTTTGAATAATTTCCTTAAGTTTAACTGCATATAAATAGACTGTTTTGGAATCATCATCTTAAGAATATGTCAAAATGTCGTTGACTAATAAAAGAAAGACTATCCTCAAACTTTTACAACTCACAAAACTACCCTCTTTGGTGTACACTTGAAGATTTCTCCATCTTTAGGTTACTTTCTTGGTTCTATTCCAACACAGAACTTTAACTGCTGTCTGACTGATTTTATTAGCTGGCATTTGATTCTCCAGCCCCACTCCAAGATGGTCGGTAGCTCCTTTATGCCCACACCAGCGATGACATCTCAATTTGCGTAAGGTTTCTCTGTTTGTTTTGCTCTGGATTTACATTTTGTGCCCCGATGTCTCAGCTCTGCGTTTGCGGTTTGCGTTGGCTTTTATTTTATAACTTTGTTTTTATGCCATTTCTCAGTTGCTCAGCTGCTGTCACATAATTTGCACTTTTTACTTTCTTCTGCTTTGTTTTGCCACAGATAAATGGAGAGGAGGCAAGAGGTCAATAAACTTGGTCAGTTGAGAAATGGCCGGCACTTGGGTAAAAAGAGTGAGATAAGTACACTCGGAAAAATTCATCTGCTTGCAAAAAAATTAGAGTAAATTAGTTAGCTCTATCTTAAATAGATCTGAGAGATCTGGCATAGATAGACATTGCTTCATATGCTTACCTTAAGATTTGATATCATACAAATATTGGATAAATAAAATTAAAAAGAGCTTCACAAACTAATAAGGTATATGTGAATTTGTCAAGGACCCCTCTTCATCAGTGCTTATTTGGTATTGAAATCGTTGAGTAATCGAAATTAATTGTCAGAAGATGTTTGCCAAGTGACTTCTGTTTTCGATTAACCTTTAATTAAATGGCTCCGTGTGATTGGCAGTTAAGCTAATTAGGCGACATGAGAGATATTTAAGCAGGGAAAGCTGGCTGGTACATAGTTCGCCTGATTTGCCGCGGCCACCTAATTAAATTTCAAATGCGGCAGTGTCAACTTAATGGTCCTCTTTCCGCCTGCTCGTTGCCCCGCCCCCTGTCACCATATCCACAGTATATATATCTCGCTATCTTTATGTGCCTGTCAGCGTTTGTGCAAACACTCGACACACACACATACTGCCCCCACACTAACACAGCGGCAGTGTTAATCATAATAATGTCACCACTAATTGCATTGCGTATACGCACACGTGTACTTAGACTTCTCTACGAGCAGCTTCCTTCTGTCCACATTCCGCCACCTCCTCTCTTTCCTCCGCCCCCTAATTCCTGACGACCCCATAATTTGGCATTACGTGGGCGCGACCCTGCCATAGCCACGCCCACATCTGTCGCTCGTCGGGCTCCTCCGGCAAATGTGTTTATTTAACATTTAAGCAAGCAGCTTTTGCCTTCTAACCATAAAATGGGAATTGGGAATGAGCGACCTGGGATACCGTGGGATACGATGGGTTGGGATCTGGCTAGTTGGCTTCCCTCTTATATGTGCGCTTATAATTGAGCGGGGAAAATTAGTCAGAATAGTTGGCTTGGTTGCCGAGAAAACAACAAACTTTTGGCGCAAGTCATTAGAGCTTAAATAGAAATGATTAAACTTTGTAGAGAGTTTTTATTATAATTTTTTTTGAGAATTTCGATAGGCAAAGGTGGAGTTCCTGGAAAAAAATATATGTAAAGCCAAAGTGTATATCAAAGCAAAAATTAAAAACTAATTAAATCTAAAAATTTTTACGAAACTAAAACGTTTAGATCAAGTTTCTTGTGACCTTTTTGAATTCATAAATTTTGAATATAATGAATAAAAATTTCAATAGAAAAAGCTCTAAACTTTGTAATAACAATAATAGCATAAGCTTTAAAAAAACAAAATATATATTTTAACTATTGTTTAGTAAATGCCGTTAAAGTTTGTGGCTTATTTATCCCAGACTTGTTTAAAAATTGATAAAATCCGCCTAGTTCTCATGGTGCCAGAAAGCCATTTAAAAGTTTAATCACTGACTCAAACTCTCCGGCACCATTACGATTTCAATTTAATTTCAAATGGAACAAAAGCAATTTCAATGCAAATGAAATGCCAAGTGATCGGCTATTAAAATGAGCGGAGCAAAAACCAAAAGCTGGGTAAAAGTTTAGAAAGGAAATGGGTAAAACTTACCGCCGACATAGATATCAACTTGCGACCAGTTCAGCTTGGCGGAAATACTCTGCACGGCCAGGGAAATTGCCTCGAATGATGGCAGAAAATTGCTGGAGATCTGTAAGAGAGAGATAAGTTCTATTTTAGACAGTCGCACGCAAGGAGATGCTTTTCCGAGTTACGGCCCAGAAATGGCATAAATGAACAACTGGGAAGTCGGGGGGCCCAGGCCCCCGGCCCCCGGCCACCCTATAAACATAACTCTCTCCCGGCCCCAGCCAGGGGTTCGCCATTGTGTTTATTCTGTTGTTGGCTCTGTTGCTTCCCATTCCCTGGCCCTTGCCACCACTTCAGCAACACCTTTTGTCTCTGTGGGAGGCTGTAAATGAAAATCTAAACACTCTAGTGTTCACTGGCTTGTTTGTTAAAGTGAAACAAATTAAATGCTCAAGCAATTAAAGAATGCCGAGGGAGAGACAGAGGGGTTTGGATGTACACTTGGCAATGGGAAAAGGTGTGCATCTTGTGGCTAGGAATCTTAGTTAGTGTTTAAGTTAAAGCATTCTTAAGCATTTATTATTCACTATTTATATTCTACATACTTACTTCTTTGCATCAGTAATAATGATTAGACATGGTGACGTGATTTGTGTTGATTTTTGTTTTTTTTTTTTTGCTTGTAGGACCCATCAGACAAATATCCAAGCAACATGGCCATAGACAATTCAATCATGTTTAATCAAAGCATTAGAGCAACTGGCTCCAATCAATAATCGAGGCCGAGTCCCCTCATATACAAGTATTTCCCTCCCCTACCACTCGTAATCATCGTCGTGCTGGAGCATAAAAGGTCCTTGCTCGTTGGAACTTGGGTGGGAAAAAATTCGATTTTCCCTTGGCATTGATAAGGGCCAGTTCAGCCGCCGGGTCGGTGGAGGCTCAGCTCGTCGATGGAAGACAGCGGACTGTCAGGAACCCAGCTTTAAGTTGGTTTTTGTACCTTTTTGACCTTTTTTCCCCCAACTTGTTTTTCATTTTTGTTTAGACTCATTTGTCGGCATGATTTGAGTTTGAGTTCGGCAGGACAGCTGCCTGTTGGATGTTAGCCGTTGGCCTGTTGGCCGCTTCATTATTTTGGCAGACGAAATAAATTGAAAAACGTTTGAGAAAATACGTGTAGGCAGCTTGGACACATACAATTTTCTACAAAATTGAATTTCAAAAGCAGCAGCGACAACAACAACACCGGAAGCAATCAGAGGGTCCAGTGCTGGGGGGAGGGAGTTGCTTCTAAATTGAAAGGCTTTCGATGTGATTAGGCAATGATTTTTCACAATTGCTCTTTCTTGTTTTTCTTCTTTCATCCCTAAGCATTATGAAGAATAAATAATGCTCATAATGACGATTAGCTTTTGGCCAACTGACCGTACACTTTTAATATATATTTGAAGAATACATATATCTTAACCTGACTCTTACCTCTATCCCAATATCTAGGTGTTATTGGCATTAAGTAGCATTTTGATTTATTTTTTGAAGTCCAAATGAGCCGAAACCCCCTTGTAATTTAGTGGCATTGTTAACAATTATTGGTTCCTGCCTTGCTGGTCCTTTTGCCACCAATAAGCCGTGCCAAAGTTCGAAAAACTTTCGACCGGGCAACAATAGAGGGAGAGTGCTCCTACAGAGGGGCGGCGTAATGCGGCAAATTGTTAAAACAATTGCAACAATTTGGCATCGAAGTGCATTTCGGACGTCTATTGACACAACGTGACCAGCCATTGCAACCAGGGCATTTACTGGTATTAAGTACACCCCTTTGGCGCCCCCTCGATGCCACGCCCCTGGAAGCTGGCTAAGTGCACTTGGGAAATTTAAAAGGAAACTATGGGAAAGTGGGACGCTGCTGTAGCTTTGTTGTTCGGACTTTGTTTTATGGCTCGGACAAATTGTTTAACGTTCAATCAATTTAATTAATTTGGCTGGCGGAAGGAAATATATATTATTTTGTCAAGCAGCCGGAAAATGAGTTTTCCTTGCGCTTTTTCCCTCCAGCCTGCCTGATTTCTTCTTCCTGTTCTTTGGCATTTATTCACAGGTGAATTGCTTTTGGCCCCCAGCCGAAATGTTATGCAAAGGAGGCGAGAGCGCCAAAAAAAAGAATCAACATTAATCACAGCTCAGCAAATATTTGACATTTGCCAGCCTCTTTGGCAGATTGTCGAAGGCGCAGAGGCCAAAATTCCAGGGTCTCAAACCCGCCAAAATCCGATGCTTGGCTTATCCCCAATTCAACTCAGGCGGCGTCTTTTGTAGCTATATTTTAAGCATACATATATATTTTTGTTGTGCGTGTATATCTTTTGCTGCTTTACAACTCGCTACACATAACAGCTTTGTAAACTTATTCACATGTTATTAATTCAGTTAGGGGCGTGTGCACATCCACACAAAACATTTCAATTGGTCTTTTGTGGCCATTTCTATATACACACGCATAGCGAGGACGAATTTATTTATGAGGGCTTATTAAATTTATTTCTGTTGAAGGGTTGACAATGAGATTAGGGCAACACTTTGAGGGGTAAGATGGAGGTCTAACGATAGTTTTCAATGCTGGTTAACCCTCATCTAATGGCAGATATATACTTTGCTCTAAACTCTTCTTGCTAATCAAGAAGTGACCAAAATAGGGACAGCTTTAAAGGTTCAAGGTATTTAAAGTCTGTAAATGTAATACATTTTCCTCGAAATAAAGTTCAAAAGGGATCGTAAAGTTCAGTTTCTTTTGAGGCTGTCAGGGAATTCGGTTGCTTATTCATTTTCAATAAGAAATAACCAACAGCTGGCGCAGCCAGATAAAAATTAATGGCGGAATTCTGTTCGTTTTTTTTGAGGGCCGTCATTATTATCAATACGCAATAAGAGAAAAGCAAAACTTTGGCGACGGGCACTTAATTCGCTGTCATTTAACCGAGGATAAATGACCAGGACATGCGGCTGCAGCAAACCCATTAAGATGCCGCAAAAGAGCAGACGAACGATGAAGTTTTGGCCTACATCGGACAGCTCTTTTCTTCTGCAATTCCAGGAGGTGATAGTCTCCAGACAAGGTCGGAGATAGTGGCGAACAGGACCCGGACACAGGGAGGAAAGCACTTTTATTGTGTGGCAAAGTGGCAGCAAACATTGAGGTGCTATAAAGTTACACAGAAGCAAGGGCAGGGAAGCGTCCCAGCTGGCTGACTGACTGTCCAAAATGGCTGTCATCTTGGCCAACACATACATATCCTGGAACCCATACAGATGCAAAACACACTCGCACGTGCTGCCATTCCCAAATTGTTTTCACTCTCTCCTAAGCACATGGCAAATGCCTGCAGTTTTCCTCCGCTCCTCGGCAGTCCTTCGCCCAAATTGAATTCGATTTGAATTACGAAATGCTTGTTTGATTGTTTCTTGTTTCCTGTAATTCTGGTTTGCTTTATGTATTCGCCCTGCCTAGGAAATGGCTTTTTAATGCCAAGCAACTATTCAAAAGGTCCTCACTCGACGATGAGGTCATCCGGCATTTTGCCATTTGTAATACAAGCATCCTTTTAAAATCGGTTTAGCTGAGCTCTTCGACAAGGAAATGGTAACAGAAATTATGATATTCTTAGTAGTCAACAAAGCTATGCCCAAGTCTTCGGATTAGTCTCGGAGCATAAAAGAAACTCAACTTAAATCAGATTGAAACTTATGGAATGATAAAACAAGAAAGAAAGCTAACTTTGGCCAGCCAAAGTTTGTATACCCTTGCAGGTAACAATTAAAATATATCATAATTAAGGCAAAAATGCATTAATTTCGATTCGGAAAGCAGTTTTGTGTTAGTTTTTATTCATTTAAAAAAACTGCATACCAAATTTAAAATTTTAAGAAATCAAAATTTTTTGACATTTTTGCTAATTTTAATGATGTAACCCCTTATCAATTTTCACAAAATTGGCCAAAAAATCGATTTCTTCCGGACATGTCTAGAATGATTCCCCTGTTGATGCTGATTAAGAATATATATGGTTTATGGGGTCGGAAATGATTCCTTCACTTACAAAAATATTATTTTGTATTATTACGCTGGTGCTGCTGCGGATTAATCGGGCAGCCACCTGCGTCAAGTGGTCGCCGGCGGAAAACAAGTTTGCTGTGGGATCTGGAGCCCGTCTCATCTCGGTGTGCTACTTCGAGTCGGAGAACGACTGGTGGGTGTCGAAGCATATCAAGAAGCCTATCCGCTCGACGGTCACCTCGTTGGACTGGCACCCGAACAACGTGCTCCTGCTGGCCGGCTCTACCGACTACAAGGTTCGCGTCTTCTCGGCGTTCATTAAGGACATTGAAGAACCGCCATCTCCGACGCCTTGGGGCAACCGCAAGCCTCTTGGCCAGCTGATGGCCGAGTTCCGCAACTCGCTGACGTCGGGCGGCGGCTGGATCAACAGCGTGAGCTTCTCCAGCGACGGCAACAAGGTCTGCTGGGTGGGGCACGACAGTTGCGTCAGCATCGCGGATGCCACCAACGGGAACACGGTGATCCGCTGCCGGATCGGCTACCTGCCCTTCCTCTCCTGCGAGTGGGTCTCACCAACCTCCGTCGTGGTAGCCGGCTACAGTTGTGTACCTCTGCTATACAGCTTGACCGCGGATGGGAAGCTGGTGCTCAGCGGAAAGCTGGACAAGTCGCAGAAGCGCGAGTCCAGCGGCATCACTGCCATGCGCATCTTTCAGTCAATGGACCGCAACATGCGCACGGAGAATACGGACACGGTGGTGGACTCAATTCACCAGAACGCCATCACCAGCGTCCGCTTGTATGCCGGGGACAAGGACAGTGCCACCAAGGTGTCCACCTCGGGCGTCGACGGCCAGCTGGTCATCTGGAACGTCGAGCAGGGCGGCATAAACGGCGGCATGCGCAACCTACAGATCTAGTTCAGATCAAGACGGTCCAAATTTACATGTTATTGTCGTCTGTTAGCGAGTGTGTTGGCGTTGGCCTGGCCAAGTGCGCAGTATTTTGCCAAAATGTTTTCCAAAAGCGCTTCTCCCATTGTTTTGTACCGTGCGAAAGCCTTTTTACATAAATTAACTGAAGAGACTCGTTCTTTTCTCGCTACTTCTTCCACTTACAAGGGTTCTGAAAAGTCTGTGTATGTGTTTTAAAGTGTTTCAACTCTATAGCAAACTGAATAAAATGTTTTTTATTCGCCAAAAAAAAAAATAAAAATAAAATCTGATTTTTTATATTAAAAAACTTCTTAATTTTTTTAAAATTAAAAATATCATAACTCGGCCAAAAGAGCATTAATTTTAAATCGGAAAACTGTTCCGTGCAAGATTTTCTACAGTTAATAAATCTACATACTTCATTTAAAAATTTTGAAAATTCAATTTTTTATCAAAATCAAAAATTTTAATGATGTAACCCCTTATCAAATTTCGCAAAAATGGCCAAAAAATCGATTTCTTCCGGACATGTCTAGAAAGATTCGCATGTTAATGCTGATCAAGAATATATGTTGTTTTATGGGGTCGGAAACGTCTCCTTCACTGCGTTGCAAACTTCTGACTGAAATTATATAATACCCTGCAAGGGTATAAAAATAAATAATACACACCTATTAAAGGGACTATATAGGTACTATTTTCTTAAGCAAATAAATATCAAGGATACTTTATGATTACCAAAAATAAAATATATTTTAACTTTGAAAAAGCCTTATGAAGACGTAATAAGTAGACTGCCTTGTGTGTCCTCGAACCTATTCAAAATTGGTTTACTCATAAATAGTTATGTTTGGTGAAGGGCTATTAAAATATCTAATTCTTGTAAGGTATCAGGTGTAAATTAAATTACTGTGACAGCTGCAAACAGAGTTCATAATATTTTATGGCCAGAGAGGCAGTAAAGATGAATGACAGGCGGGATTAGGTGACCTTCTTTGCCACACCTGATGGGGCCCATATAAAGTGATTTGACTGCTTGTTAAACGATTTAATTTTTGAAGGCTCTGATCCGACCCGGAGCGCTGGCTCTGACCATTAAGCACTCGCTTTTGGGCCACGTGTGTGCAGCACTTTGTTGGGCCAACTTTATGAATAATTGAGCGATGCCTAAGTGGCAACCTCTTTGGGCCGCCTGCCTTTTTATGAGCAACTCTCTGCTCTACCGGCGAAATAAAGGACTGAAAATACTGAAGAAAATGTGCGAAGCGAGAGGGTTTCTCGCAAAATAAGCATCATTGAATTTATTATGATTTTTATGCAAATTGCTGCATCCCCAAAGGGCGCACGATGAATGCAATTAATGTGGGAAGCGGCGCAAAAAGGTTTTATGTCCCTGCCACTTAGCGTAACGAAGGGCTTTCACCAGAGAGTGTCTCAAAGGTCACCTCCTCCGAGCCCCTCCTGCCCCGATTTTTCATCCCTGCTCTATCTTTCTGGCCAACTAATTGTCAGCTGCCGTAGCTCGAAATCCGTTCCTGGAAGAGCTTGATTATTCAGCTACCGACAGCTGTGGCTTGGAAACAATATTTACCAGCTTTGAATATGCAGAGGGGGCCAATCGTTTGATGGGGGAAAATTCAACAGTTCGCAGTTGCTGAAATAAATCTGCTGAGCACTTGGTTAAAACTTCGACGATGACTTGGCTTATTTCGGAACAAGTGGTCTTAATGCACGTTTAATGTAAATTTATAATGCTGCTGCAATGGCAGCAGGGATATCATAAATCATTCAGATATTATATAGATATTTTGTTAGCTTAAAGCAGGAATACGAGGTTTAGCCCAAAAGTACTGATTTGGTTTAAGTATAGTCAACATATAACTAAATAAATAAACCACCGCATCTTTGCTTAATGTTTTTCGCAAACACCGAAATAATACTTTATTTACAGGGAATTAAATCTGATTGCTCCTGCTGGTTACAGTTGTCCTGCGAGCTGGTGTCGTGTGCACTTAACTTCCTGCCGCAGATGAATCAAATATGCCACACGCACACACAGTCACGTGGATGAAAATGAAATTGTTCTTAATTTGCGTGATGCGAATCAAAAATCAATGGAATACCGCAAATCAAAAATCAATATAACCAGCAGACCGGCAGACAGGTGTGGAGTCGACACGAACACACACCGGTGCCCAAAAGTAAACTCAGTCACAGATACGAATGCGAATTCGAATACAACTGAATACCTGAGTACCAGGCGATTGACTGACCTGCATGTGTAATGTGGCACCTGCAGTCCAGTGCGATAAGTGGAATTATAATTCCTGAGGTGGCGAAGTCAAGTTAAATGGAGTATATATAACACCCTAAGGTGAGTATATTTTCGAGTGAATCTTTTTGTTGATAAGTTGATTTTTCGGACAGTCCCTTTGAAATCCACTATCCATATATTTTGTATAATATGTAAATCACCTTTTCTGTTCATCATTCTCCCTATTTTCTGCATATTTCTAAAAATTTGGCTGATTATAAGTCGGGGCATTGACCGCAACATGGCATCATCATAATAAATAAGCCAATACCAGCTCCTCCTACATCTTCATCCCTTGGCTTATGGCGCTGCTGCTTCTGCTGCAGCACACGCTGTTGATGATGATGCTGGCAAACAAAGCTCCATTTGCCTTGCTATTTACTGCAAAATATTACGTATACGCCGGGTAGGGAGTGGCACTGCGAAGCATTTAGAAAGCTGCAATGACTTGGGCATGTGGGAGGGATAGGTGGTCCTATATGTGCGCACTATATGTGGGACCGTTGACAGCTGGTGCTGCAAGTTCTGCTGAAATTGGGGAAAAACACAAACAAAGCGCAAAAAGGGATACAGGACGCTGCACTTAATTGTGTTTGTGTCTGCTGACTCACAATGGAGTTTCCATTTATGCGAAATGGAAAGTGCCAACTTGGAAAGGAGCTTAAAATTTGATTAGTCAGCTGGCTGAGCGAACGAGACACGTTTTATTGGAGTGTTGGCAGGACTTTAAGCCATCTAGCTTTATATAATTCGATTGCATGGAAAGCACATGCAGAAATTGCAATTCCGTCTATGCGAAAATCGAATTACAAGAGTGCCAAAAAAAAAGCACACAGTCCAAAAGCGATTCGCTGAAGTGCCAAAATTCAATTTGAACACTTCCCATCGCTGGCATTCCGCGCGAATCCATCGAACCCGTGGTCGAAACGCGTAAACAGCAATCAATCATGAACACGTAGCCTAGTCGGGAGCACCAGCGACTAGAGAAGGCGAACAGCAAGTGCTAAATCAGCGACGACTATATGGCACACGCAGGAAACGCAGCCAAGGGCAAAGTGTCCAGTGATGATATGGCTATGGATAGGTAACCAGGATCAATGCAGTCGAAAAGTGTTGTATATTCTATATTTGTTGTTAATTTTATGCTTAGTTTAAATGTTTTTTATGTAGATTTAACTAACAACAAAAGTGTCCGCAAGGGATACCCTGAAAGACTCGGTATCCGTATTATTTACTAGTGTTTGTACTTCTACACAATCATAGTCATCCACCCACTTATTGTTGTGGACACCAAACACAAATACCAAACCAAGCTCCCAATCGCAGTTGGTCATATCAGTGCCTGGCCAGAACGGATGCCATCGTTATCACTGATGCAGCTCTCCGCTCCCCCCGCTTGCCATGCAGTTGTCAATTGTCAAACTGATTGAGTGAAAGGCAAATGCACAGTGGGACAAAGGAGCTGGATCTGGGCTGGGATGGCTATGGATGGAATGACATGCCAAGTGTTTGCTCCGCACTTTTGCCATGATAAACTGCAGGGCCAACTGACAGGCTGACAGACTTACTGACTGACTGACTGAATGACTGTTTGACTGCATGCATGCATGAGTGAACGACTGACAAACCGAATGCTGTCCAATCTCTGACTTGACTGTACCCTCGTGTGACTTGATTCGCCTGCGTTCCCTGCAAATTGTTAGATAAATGCCCAAGTCGATCAAGATTGGCAATGCAGAGCTGCCGGGTAGCCGGGTAGCGCATCCCTGTGCGATTCCAGTTGTCTCCTGGGGATTCAAGACTGTCCCTCCCTCGACACCCCTTCAGAGCCCCCATTCAATTGAAATGCAACATTAATCTTCATTAAGCTGTTTGCAAGCTCTCTGTGGGGAATTAGTTAGGTTGCAAGGATAACAATGGTGCACAGAGGAAAGTGAACCGCACAATTTCAAGTAGTTCATCACAAATTGAAGGGAAGTGCTTAATAAATAATAAATAGAGTCTCAAAAGTAATCAAAATAAAATTAAAATAAATAAAAGAAATAGTTTCCATTGAACTTATATTCTTTTCTGTGTATATACAAGTATATTCACATATTCAGATGTGTGCGGGTCAAACTCAATTTACCGTATTAAGCAATTCGAGCGGAACAAACAGCAGCAACAATACAAACATTACTTGAAAAACCACAAGAGTTAACAGAATGCAGCAAAAGTTACAAAATGCTGTAAATTGCATGAAATTGATATGAAAAAAAAAGTCCTGGGAATCTGGGCAGAATATTCGCTGTATGGAAGGAAAAACGGGGCTCAGTTGGGTGGCAAACTTTGCTCGGCCTTCCCGGCCACTTCAAATTCAATGACCGTTATGGAAAACTAAGCCCGAAATGTGTTTGATGGGGGTTTTTCCTGGTGCGTTATTGCGGGTAAGTGTGTGCCTGTAAGAGCGTTTATTCCATTGTGGCATACACTAAGCGCCTTGTAGAACAGCGCACAGTATGTTTTTATTATTCAAAAATGAAAATTAAATTTATAACTAATGGTTTTTTTTAGAGAAACCTAGTGGGTAGGCTTGCAATTAATTAAATATGAGAATATACAGAAATTTTAATAAAATCAACAGTAAAGTCATACTTAATATTAACTTGTAGTTAAAACTTTGAAGACAAAAAGAAAGAGATTACAAAATTAAATAAATAAATAAAAAAATCATTCATGACTTCGCACATTGCCTTAACATTGTAGGCCCACATGGCGTATACGCAATTCTGTGCCATGTAATGCCGTGCCATCGCTTTAAGCTGGCCGTCTTTTCCCACCCCCTACTTTCTACCACCCAAACCACTGCAACAATGCCCCAATTTCTACCCACTTTAAAGGCATTTCAGGGAGCTGGCGGGCATTCCCAAGTCACTGGCAGTTTGCAAATTTTTCCAACTCTCCAAAGGCCGCCCAGGGAACGATCGATGGGAACGATGGGAGGGATCCAAGTGGGGGGCAAAGGGCGCATCGCATCAATTGTAACACTGGTGCGGCGGTTGTGTCGCTGATTTAGGGGCAGCTGCAAGGGTTCCACGGCGCAGGATGGGCGAGTTTTGTTGCGCTTTCAGCGCATAAATATTGCAAGGCGCATAAAAATCACACTTAATTGCACGTTTTGTTACTTTGTCGCCATGGCTGGCCGTTGGATTTTCTGATTTTTGCTGTTAACCCGTTTTAAGTTCCCTAGGGTTTTTTTCTTTACGGCTTTCTGTAGTTGTGCGTACACTGTAGCCAGAAAGAAATCCTGCAGGCATTTATTAGTGTTTTATTAGACAGCAAAGGACCTTTTTTAATTGAACTAACATGAATTTATACGGATTGTCATAATAATACAACTCCCAAAAAACATACGAATAATTTTAAGTACATATTTGATTTACTGAACCAGTTAAAGTATGATTTTTTTAACATAGGGACAACAGGCTTTAATCACAAAGAGACATAATGTATTGGTCAGGATTCTAGATACTTTTTTTATAATCGGCTTGTAACAGCTCAGCTTGTTCCGAACGAAACCGTCAATGGTATTTGTGCTTTCTAACATGGCCTTGTTTTTTTCTGTTTTTCAATTAAAAACACTTTTATCCGCTACAATGTTTTTAGCGGTCCAGATTGATAAAAGTCATGGAGCCTCGACCCCCCCGTCGAATATATATATCTATATCTATATGTATGTGACTGCGACCTGTGTACATATTTTTGTTCATGTTATATGTACAAGCTCTTTAAAATGTGGTTTACCATTCGAGGCCATTCAATTCGATGTGAAAAGTCGCCATATTTTTTGTTTGATGACACAAATGTTGAGGTTTTTCTCTGGCACTTCAATTATATTAGACGACAGCAAAAAGCGCTTTCATTCCGCACTTAATTCAATTAAATTTGTGTACTCACAAAAAAGAAAAATCAATTAATTATGGCCATTCACTGGGGGATTAGTTGCTTCTTTTTGTGAGACATTTCACGTAGGAGAAATATGTACATAAGGGAAGGTAAATAATTAAAGCGGCAGTAAACAATCTTTTTGAGCAGGTCAAGCGAAAAAATAAGCTGCAGGAATAAAACTGTGAAGCATACTATTGCGGGCAGCAAAGAGAATATTAAAGTGGAAAAATCCATGAAAGGAGGAGCGTTATTAGTGAGTTTAGCTTTAGATGATGGTGCACTTATGCAGCGCTAGGTGGCGCTTTAGTGGTCCCTTTTTCACGAGCTGCGACGGTAGTACTTTCAAGGAATCGTGCATTTTTCGTGTAGTTGGCACTTTTAGTAACCGGCCATGCTGCACTTGATGTGCATTTCTCTCCGTCTCCATCCCGATAATAAAGCGAACTCAGCTGAGCTCAGCTCAGTTCAGTTCAGCTGAGCTCATAAAAACATACGAACGAACACACAGACAGACAGCTGCCAGGCTAAGCAACATTTTTGTTTATGATTGTGCCGAGTTTTATGGGCGTGATGTGTCGCTGCAGGGGCATGTCGGGTGCTGGATGTTGGAGGCGTTGGTATCCGGGGAAAAGGGGGCGTGGCACGTGCCCAGAATGGCCTCGACCAGCAGCTCTCAGTGAGTGATTTAAATGGCCGCCAGCAGCAGGGCAGCCTCCATTGCCGGGCTATTGGCATGCATAAAAATCAGAAATTATGGCTCTTTAACAATGTGAAATATTGTAGGACATCGTCGTCACTAACATCATCATCGCCGCCTGATTTGCATGGAAATAATATGCATTTCGCAACCAGACCCCATCCATCTTGGCCCTCTAAGCCAGCAGTTCATTATTTGGCCATTGCTCATGATGCTTGTGCTGCTCGCCAGGGAGCCAGAAGCGAATCCGTTTGTCAATCATTCCGTCACAGTATGTCAGTGCATTTCGGGTCTCGCAGATTTTCATTAATAACTTTGCTGGCATTTTCAACAAGTTAACAAACTTCGCCAAGAATTTCGCCCAAGCACTTGTCAATCAATTGTCAAAGCACCCAGTCCGGGCGGGATCATAAAAATATGCAAAAGTAACGAGCTGAATTTTATGTTGCACAACTTTGTGTGACAGTTTGGCCAGAAGTGGGAGCGGTGGCTTCTGGATTCGCAAGTTATCCTTCTGGGCACTTGTTGGTGTAGCCAAGTGCAGGGGCGGAAAGGTGAAACTAGAGCAACACTTGCCGCAAAAAGTAATTTCATGCCAGCGTCGACTTTCATCAAGCAATTTTCCAACATATTTCGGCCTTCTCCGCAGCCACCTCCAAAACTCAGCCTTTGGCCTGGCTTTTCCATTTCCTGTTTTCCCGTAACCTTCAGCACCCAGCCACAGACTTGACTTGATGAAGTTCTGTGGTGCGCACTAGCCCTCTGTCTCTCTTGCCAGCTTTTCCCTTAGTTTGAAGAATTGCGCTGGCAAATTGCAAAATTCTGCTGCAAAATGCCTGCGGCTCTTTCTAGGCATGTTCAAAGCTATTTGGCTTAAATTGCTGCTTAATTAACACACCACATTTTGTTGCCTGAATTCACATGTATATTAATCCAAGAAATATGAACACGTTTTGGGTGCGCCACAAGCCAATTTTTGTGAGTAGTGAAGGAAGCTTGGGATTTAAGTGGAATGCAAATTTTATATATGCTATATATTTTTTTAAATATTTTATTGAAAATTTCATATTAAATATATTCTAAAAACACAAATAAGTATCTCTTGGCATTCGACGGAACACACAATTTACCCCACGGAAACTCATTCAAATCGAATCGCTCATTTGAGGAACGTGTATTCAAACTTCCGATGATTGCCCTTATTTTTATCTTCCCATCAAAGATTTCCCTTTGTGTGTAAGGACGTACTCACTTTCATTCGCGGGCACGGCCAGAGGACGACGGTCTTATTATAATCGTGTGCCAGTTGCTCGGCCAGCTGATGACAGTGACCCAAGAAGCTGCGGGCGTCGCTCCACCGATTGGATAGGGCCTCCTCGCCCGCTGACAACGGTTTCGTCCTGATCTCCTGCTGACGATGATGATGTTGCTCCTGCTTCTGCTTCTGCTGCTGCTCCTGTTGCAAATGCTGACGCGGCTGCCTGGGCGGGTCAACGTTCACATTCGCATTGGGACTCCCAGTCCCACGGCCATTCGAGCCCTTGTTCACGTCCACGTCCACGTCGGTGTCTACATTAATGCCCGCATTTAAAGTCTTTACAACGCTCGTGTATTTGGGCAGCTCGAGTAATTTAATGAAGCCACTTAAATCTGTGCGCCGTCGTCATCGTCATCATCGTGCAAGGCAAGAAGAAAAGAAAGAGAAACATTTTATGTGGCATATAAAAACTGCTGCATATTTAAGCTGACTCGGTGAGTGTGTGTGTTTTTCTGCGAGTGTAGGTGTGCTTGTGCTTAAGCGGTGAAGTAACTGTTACTGCTGATGAAGGCAGCGGGAATCTGTCTGCAACAGCAGCAATATTAGCAGCTCAAGTCCCTAGCCCCGGTCTAGTGCTGCCAAATATGTATTGTTAGTGCTTACTAGTCTAAGGTAAAACATATAAATTATAATTATAAATAAATAAACAGAAAGAAAGTGAGCTCAAACTGGGAAGAAATTTAAGAGCTTTCGATATTATCTTTCTTTAACTATTTCATTCCTTTCTGTTTGGTTAGTAGGATACCTATATTAAATTTTCAAACAATATAATAGTCATAAAACAAAAAATAAGCCCAAAGCTAGCCCATGTCGACAGCCCTGTTTCGCTGCCGCCCCCTGTCCATCGTTCGACTTCAAGTGGCTTCTCTGGAGCTCTCGTCATGGCCTGCTGGCGGCTGCCATTGCAAGTAACTGGCCAAGTAGCCGACAAGTGGCCAGAGTTATGAAAGCCGGCGATTCACATGCCCCGGGACCGAAGGAGGTGCTTGACAGCGGCGCAACACTCTGGGAATTCTGGCGTAGGCACTGGGATGTCTGAGGGGATCCGAAAACCATAAAATACCGCTCTTGAAGGATCTCGGTTAATTCGCCGGCTTAAGAACTTTTGGCCGGGCAATAACGGTCGCTGTAAATTAAAAACTTGGGCGCACCAACTTTTAACTTATGTTCCTGAATATTTATGCCGCATTAGGGCCAGACCCTAATGATTAGCTCCTTAAATGAGTTTTCCCATAGATCGCGATAAGCCGAAAGTTCGCTTAGACTCAGTGCGGCACTTTCATTTGTTAAAGTTTCCTGCTCGACTGCCAAAGTCCCCGCCTGGCTATTAGTTTTATTCTTTCAATTTACTCTCTCTTCGCTCTGCTCGGCTCTTCCTAGTTAGTTAGTTTCAAAGTAAACACGGGTATCTACACATGGCCAACTTTTGTCCTCCACTTATTTGGCGCCAAAGTTTCTGCCGATTGCAACAATTTCGCAGTTGCCGCCTGTCAGTACGAAAAGTTTAAATTTGATATCTTTAATTTAGAGCGCTGTCTCGGAGGTGTCATAAATAAAAGGTGAAACTTGCCTGCTCCCGCAGTCATCTAAATTGATTTAAGTGCCCCGACAAAGAAATTCAATTTGCAAGCCAAACTAACGCAACATTTCCATTCCGTACAAATAAATTCCATTTGCAGTAATTTAACCTGTCTGTCTTGCCTTGTTGCGAGTTTTTATGTTTTGCAAAATAAAGAAATGGATTCTAGTTGCATATGGCCGTATTCCATTCGGCTTCTCCAACCCCCTTGCCCGGCCCCCAGTGACAATTTATGGCCATGTAGGAGTCTGCGAGTTTATTTGCTGACCAACGTTGGCAATGGCACAAGGCATTCTACCTTAGAGCGAAATTAAAAGGGGCCTTGTCCTGGGAAATAGTTGGATAATGTATTATGTAAGAGAGCTAGGATTGATTGGGCGCTAGCCCATGTTGCTGTTGTGTAAGCCCACATGAATGCCGGTCGTTCTGTGTGTTGCAATTGAATTGACAGCGTTGCGTATTTGCCATGTTGTCCAATTACTCTCGTAATTGATGTACCAGCAACGACAGCTGCTAATCTCTTCTCTATTCTCCTTGCCCCTCTAAAAAAAACCTTTGGAAAGACTTGAGCTACCATATATTATATATTTCTTCTTTTTAGAGAAAGGACTGCTTAGTAATGGTAGGGATATATGGTATCAGAAAGTTATTCACGACCAGCATCGTAATTAAAGTTCAAACTTTCCCGGAAAAGCAGTACGTGCTTAAATTAGTTAAAATGGGCTTGGGCAAAACGTGGGTTATTTATGGCGGGCAGCGTGAAAAAAATGGAAGAAAAATCAAGGCAAAGTGCATGCAAATTGAGTTAACGGAAGACTTGCAAGAAGTTAAATCATCTTCGTCCTGCGACACTTCCCGCAGAAGTTTTCTTCGAATCTTGATAGCTTCAAATTTAATTCCTGCGCCTGATTTGTATTTTCTCACTCAATTAGCAAAGTTCCCCCATAACTTCCACTCTGTTGGCTGACGGTAAATATTTACCCCAAGCAAACATTGCTCCGATTCATCTTCATAAACTGCCTCCCTTGGCCGACTCCGCTTCGTGTAGAATTTTTTGGCCCAAACAAAAAAATAAGGAAACTTGAGCATCCGTCGACACACATACACAAATCATCGATAAAACACGACGTCTAAATGCATGTCGGCAGGGATTTTCGGGCAAACAAGCATGCTTTGGGATGTTTTTTGGGATGTTGCTGATGGGTTGGCTCTTGTACTCACCCACGTCACGTAGAAAATCCACGCTGGCATTAGACAAATGCAGTTGGAAAAAGTCGAGGAAATTGTGAAAGCCCTGTTGCACATGCATCATATCCGTGTGCAGCGTAGGGGGTATTAAAACGCCCAGCCTCAGATGTTCCTGTCGCTTCTGACGGCGCTGTCCCTGTTGCTGCTGCTGCAGCTGCAATTGCTGGTGTTGCTGTTGCTGCTGGGGGCGCTGATGTTGCAGTTGCTGCTGCTGCTTCTGCTGCTGTTGTGTTGCGGGCTGTTGCTTTTGACGTTTCTGACGTTCAGCTTCACGCGCATTACGTGGGCTGTTTGCTTGTGTTGCTGTTGGCCAAATTGAATTGCTGCTGGGCGCTGTTGTTGCTGCTGTCGTTGCTGCGGATGTCCGCGTGGCCGCAACTGATGTTGCAGCAAAATCTGTCGCTGTCTTGGGCGCTTTCAGCACAAGGACACTCACCGCCGAGGAGCTGGACAAGCCAAAGGAGGAAGTGGCAACGGAGGTTGCGACGAAGGAGCTGGAGGAGGGATAAGATCTGAAGGCTAGGGAGGCGGCTCTGGGGGAATTGAGAAAGAAGAAGGCTGTCAGCAGCAGAAATAATTTAGCAATTTGACAGATTGTTAACTTCATTTATGTTGCGTATTTTTGTTTGCTTGGTTTCTCGATGTTGCTGCCGTTGCCGTTGTGATTGCTCTTGTCGTCGATTCTTGCAATTCAATTGTAGTTGTTGCTAGCTGCCACCCGATGTTGCCCACTGCCAAGCTGAGTGGGCCCTTTTCAGTTCCACCCACTTGGCCGTTTACATTTTGTTGGCCCTGATGTTGCAGTCGCCGTTGTTGCTGTTGCCGCTCTTGCCGTTCGCTCTATTATTGTTGTTAATGAACTTTGACGTAGCTTTGTTTGAATTTGCCATAATTGTGTTTCTATTGCTGGCAAATTGCAGTTTTTGGTGTTGCCTGCAAAAAAAAAAAAAACAGGAAAGTGAAATTGCATTTCTCATTAAAAGTTTTTAGTTGAAAGATTTAAATTGTGGTTTAAAGTGGGCACTTTTCGCAATTCAAAGTATTTTCCCTAAAATAAATAAGTGCTTTTCAGCATCTTCGCCCACTCTCTACTTCAACCAGTCCTATGTCTTCCTGTTTAATTTGCTAGATGACAGGCCCTCGTCAATAGGTTTTCCAGTGCACACACCTGCCGTCATGATTTATTTAAAGCCTCCATCAGGCGCCCCGACATCCGGGTTCAACCCGAGCCCAGGGGCGATGGAACTTTCCGACTCCCTGACATTTTCATTAAAAAATACGCACACAAATTAATTAAATTAAAATTTCAAATTAGTTTAAAAGTTCAGCTAGCACACGCACACTTACACAGAGGCGCAGAGCAGACAAACTCACACACAGACATTTACAGTCTGTCACGCACGCGCTTCCGTTGATGTGTCGTCTGTGTGCTAGTGTTGGTGTTGTCTGTGGGCGTTTTCATGCACGCCCTTCAGTTCCATTCCTCCCGGATTCCCGAAGTATTCCTCCGGGCACCGGGATAAGTTCCCGCGGAATCCCGCGGGACCGTCCATACAACGCGGCGAGGAACTTTCATACATAGGGTACTCCTGGCGAGGATCTCGAAATTCCGCCAGGAATCCGCACCAATCCCCCGGGACAGTCCCCGGGAATTTCGAACTCGAATCCTGCAGGAATCGACGAGGAATCCCGCGGGAAAGGCTGGCGGGCATCGTCAAGGAAACCTGCGGGAATCGTCGAGAAATCCCGCGGGATTCGCTAGCGGAATCCGCCAGGAATCCCAGATGAAAACCTATAGAAAATTCCTTAAAAATCCCCCCTTCCTAGTAAAAATCAGATGTAATTTATTCCTTATTTATTTATGGATTGTAAATTTTTATTTATGTTCACTTTTTCTGGTAGCATTACATATTTCTGCATAATTAAACATATGTATGTACATACATATATGTATTTATGTAACTGCGTGTCACGGAGCCTTCTCTGCCGGCTGCTGGGTCCTTTAAGGAACTTGTTCTATCTGTAAATTAAATACATACATACATATGTCAAATCGTAAATTGCAGTACTTTGCACAAATTTATACATACCAACTTATACTGGACAAAAAAACTTCGTAAATCCGTACTAAATCCCATTCACACCGTCTAGGTTGAAGTCGCATCCATTTTAATCGTCAATTCTGCAATTAAAATTAATAATTGAATGCAAATAAGTTCCACTTACCTTATAATATTTCATTTTTACGCAACTAATACGCAAAACACTTCTGAATGCAACAGCAGTCAACTCAAAATGCAAAGAGAATTAGAAGACAAAACCGAAGACCGAAAATTCTCGCGTGTCAGGGTATAGCCGACAAGGCAATGCCTTGTAATTAGATTCACAAAGGGCTGATAATCAAACGTGAACATTTCGGCCAAGTCAAAAGCACATTTTCTTAAGTGCTTATATACCACATGATTTTATACGTAAAAATTAATTAAATATAATCTTTAATATTTTTAAATATTCCTACTTATTTTAAAAAGGTCATTCTGCCGTCGGTGCAATACTCTTTGTTTTTTACACCAATTTTCTTTCCTCCCTTCCTTCCATCTCCATCTCTCTCTAATTTACGAACTCTCGCAACCGCTGCTTCGAACAGAGATCGAAAACAATAACAAATATGAGGATCGAACTTCGTGAAGCACTCGGCAGTAGCCGAGCGTAGGTAGAATTTGTTTCGGCTATTTTGTTTCGAACTTCGCTGAACGAGGCCCATGTAATTTGTTTTTGTTTTTCGAACATACCGCGAGGAATCGGACGGGCCAGGAATTCTGGAACTGAAGGGCGTTTAAGCACTCACCCACACACGACTCTGGGCTCATACACATACACTGAGTGAAAATCCTTTTAAATTGGATTTCAATTAAGCCACAATCCTAGAATTTACTTTTTATTGCAGCTAGGTTTTTATATATAGAAAAAGGAAGTAAATTTAAAATAATTATAAAGTTAATGAGGTACAGAATTTAATGCAAATAAAAACCTTTTTTTCTCTCTGTTTCCCGGAGCTACTCAGAGCGGAAGAGGATACGCCAAGCTGTGCATAATTCAGGGCGAGCATTTTTTAGCTACGCCAGTCGCTATAAAAACCGAATAGCCATAAAATTGATTGAGCCTAAATAAATATTTTGTTGTAGGCTTACATATCGTATTCCTCTGGTCTAGTGTTTCATTGAAGCTCCTCAACTCTTTCTGGCCTTTGTTTACTTTTCCGCCCCTGCAGTTTCCTTCCTCTTGATTAAAGGCCACTTTGGAGCAATTTAAAGCGCAAAGTTCAGGCCGGGCTTTTGTCTATTCCGGGAACAGATTTTCTTCCGGCCCAGCCCACGGCAATTCTCATGCTTGATTACCTGCGGAACGCATTCGTGCGGCAATATTTCAATTCATCAACATGACAATCTAAACTTTCATTTGGATATTAAAAAAAGATGTTTTCTTTGGGGGCCTACTACACCTCTTGGCACATCCCGGGAACCCGGGGCATTGTCATCCGATTGCCCGGAAATGATTGATGCTCCTGCTTTTTGTTGTCACTGGGCCAAAATAAATAATCTGCCCCGCCGAGTCTTGAGATGGCTTGGCAACGCAAATTGCCGCACAATGACAATGCCATTGATATGGGGAGGCTGTTGTTGTTGTTGTTGTCGATTTATCCAGGGGGTAATTGTCAAAAGTGTGAAGGTTAAAAAACGGGGCTGCGGGCACACATGTGGGGTTTATATTATTGATGATGGATGGTGTTTGGCTTATGAGCCGGGCCAGAATCGTTGATTGTTGGCCTACTTAAATGGCGAGTTAATCGATTGCATAGCCTTCTAATACAGTTCAGAATGAAGCAACAGATTAAGATTTATTATTAATATTAAAAACCATTTAGAATAGCTTTGTTAAATTTTACAATAAAAATTAAATGCACTTAATGAAACTGAAACTTGACCCTCAGCCTTATAAAGTCTCCTCACCACCACTTGACCTTTTAACCTCTTCATCTGCCTTGGAAGGGGTAACCGGTAATGCAATCTCACCAAACTGAAAAACCTTTCAGGCCAACGAGGAGGAAAATAACGAAAGTTAAAGTATTTGCAACGACAGAATTGCTTTTAATTTTATGGCATTCTAAGAGCGATGTAATAAAGCTGCAAACTTGTAGTGGACAACCTGGGGTTTGGGTGCTGAGAGACTAAACAACAACAACCACGGAGGTAATAAACTACGTTGACGACGCAACGGTGGCCACATTGCCCTGCGTTTTATATAAATAAACATATTAAAAAACTTTCAAGGATGCGGGACATAAAAGCTGATGATGGGCTGGGTGGGTGAAAAAAAATGAGCTTTAATTCTGTATTATAGTTGATAGATCTCGGATGGGGAGGGCACTTTATTCCTCCTTCTACGCCTCATCAGTTCCTAGGCACTCTCATCTCGTCCCGGCGATGTTTACGTTTATTTTATTTTATTTTTCTTTCTTTCCCTTTTCCTTTTGCTTCCCTCCCCTTGAGCCATGTTGCCTATTTTCGTTTTGTTATTGAGTTTGTAGCTCCGACGTCCTTTCTTAGGGGCATTATTATTAAGGTATACACGGGCACACACACACACTTCCAGACTCTCATTGTGCATGTATGTGCGTATGCGATATTTTTGGTTGACGGCTTTTGGCGTCGATGGTGCGTATAAGCAATGCCCTACGCGACAGTCGCCCCGGCATCATCATCCTTGGAAATTTATAACCACTTGTTTTCCCGCTTATTTACATACATATTGACACAGGCCAAACGACAGTTAGTGTGTGTGTGTGGGTATCTGGAGCATCTTTAATACGCATACATATGCATTGGGCCGTGACTGGAGGTCGTAGTTCAGCGGTGGAAGCGTCGACGTCTTCTTCTTCGCCAAACTAACAATGTGCGGAGTGGATTGCGCGAGAGCGAGGGCTGGGTGGGGGTGAAAGGATAAAAGGGGGAGTGGCACTTAGAGCAAACACTATACACACACACGCACATCCAAAGAGACTCTAAGGGTCTGTTAGGTGTCTGGAGTATGTGTGTTCGTGTTATTTATCATATGCTTTGGGTTATGAACGCCTTCCGTTGTCCCTACACTGGAAAATGTGAAGGGACATTAATGATTTTCTTAATTTTCCTAGTTACAAATTATAGCAACAGAAAATAAACTTAAAGTTAGCTTGATTGGCTTTCACAGCAGGAATAAATGTTAAAACAAAATAAAAACTTTATGAAAATCACAATTACCGAAAACGCTCTTGGAAATATTTTTTTCTCCCAATTTTTCTCTCTGGCCAAAAGCCTGAATTAGTGCGACAAAGATCTTTAAATATGCTTGAAGTTGGGTCGAGAAGCTTAGGTAAAGTGGGGACCCCCTTTCTCACTATTAAATTGTTTTGAAAAGGATTGGCCTTGCCTTAGAATGCCTTTGCCAAATCTAGTTTTTCTTCCGGCCATAAAGCATGGCCTGCGAGATACAAGACATAGCATCTCTATCTCTGCTCTCCAAAAATTGTTTTGCAGAAAGTTTAGGGCTGTGGCTTCGACTGTAGCTCATGGCAGTGGCGACTTGATCTACCCCTAAAGAGATTCCATAAATTGTCATGCATCGCTTCTGGCCACATACGCCTCCCAACCCCCCGAGTACCGCCATCGTCTTTGTTTACTGCGAGTATTTTCGCCTTTCCCCTTCGTTTTTGTTGCTGCTCGTTGAAGTAGATTTATATGCGCCATGGGCAGTGTTGTCAGTGAGTGTAATAACTCAATTATGTGGTTGCCCCGGTTACAGTGACAAACGTCTCATCTCAGGCTCCTTGGGCTGCTTTTGTCCTGAGTGTGTTATTCTCGGTGTGTCCAAGTATAATAGGAAGAGGCACCAAA